GTTACGATATATAAAAGATGTTCTGGTACAATGGTATTTCTTACAATTACAATACACATGTTTGAAATAAAAAGGATATATAAATCTTTATAAAATATTACATATTTCTTAATAGTCTGTTTGACACTTAATTTACATTTCACTGCAACCAGAATGAGTTATCGCATAAGCGGCAAATGCATTAAATCAGTCAAACGAAAGAGTAAAAATTAAAAAATGTCTGAGAAAATGAAAGAGCAAGAAATGATAATGGTGGAAAAGTGAAAGATAGCATCTCGATGAAAAGTCGAAACTGGATGTATAGAGCTGTTGTGAGCTCATTCTATGTCGCGTATTTGTCTTTCCGCCGAGGGTACACAGCTATCAATAGTATGCAAGAAGCCGCGTCGCGTTGGCGGTGGTTTGGCTCGCCACGCCGCGCGCAATATTGACTTGCTTTTAGAACGGCGCACATTGTCTTCGGCTAACAACTTTCAACGATCCCTTTTGCCAGTCTCTCGCTCTCTGCAATCAATTAAGACGAATGCGCCGACGGTAAATCCAAATCCATTGTCCCTTTTCTACTGTTTCGAGGCTTTTATAGATCAACAGGTGACTTTTAAGACGTATCGCGTAATGCGCTCGTACAGAATTCGCGATCTCGCTTGAACGAGCGCCGCAGCTGGCCAGAACAAACGTGCGATGCAAAACCGACGCTGAATATTTAGAGGACATATAGTACTCGTAACGGATATCCGAGAATTCAAATCGACTCTTTATCGGCGGTTCGGCGTGCCTCCGGGGACGGTATATTCGGCGCTGTTGGCGGCAATCGGAATAGCCGGCCCAGCTGTGCTTTGGAATCCCGCGTATCGCAGGTCGATTCGCTGCGATTCCAACTATACGTCGATACGTATTTCGGCGTTTACGAGTGCGATGGAAAGCCCTTCTTAATGCTCGCACTCGTTCTTATCGCCTTACAAAGGAACAGCTGGAGTCTTCGTTTCCACGAGTTTCCTCTCGTAGGATCCTTCAGTCAACGACGCAGCACTTCGATATTAGAAACGAAAGTTGGAGCTAATCCTCGCAGCGAAAGTTGGACGACGACGACGTCGACGACGACTGCGATGCCAGTTATAACTCGGAAATTGAAGTAGCCTCCAGGAATGATGCCGCTTGATGAACATTGACAGCAACAACACCGTGCGGAATAAGTTGGAAATCGAGAGCTGGGAGAGCCGCGCGCCTATATATATGTATGAGGCTCTTGCGCCGCTGAGAGAGAGTTGGCGAACAATATACTATATGTACAAGGAAGGGACGAAGCGACGCACTCAAAGGGGACAAGCGCGTCAATAAGCGAAACTCGACCCCTTCGAACAAAGAAGTGCAATGAGTGACAAGTGCAACTTAAGTATTATGGCCTGTGCAAGTAAGGCATCCCTGTTACACACTTGACCCAAACACTCGTGTATAATGGCTTCGTTTTTCGATTCTGATAATTATTTTAAATTAACGAAGCACGGATTATGTGCCGTATTGCGACTGAAGAACACCGCTCTGTTGATGTTCATGACAAATGCTGTCATGTATCTATCTCAATTCAAAACGCAAATTGTCAGTTGCAGTGCTACGTATCTTATTATTATTGTAATGTTACTGCGCGAGTGAAAATTAAATTGCTAATTTACATTTTCCCTCTGTGGGTGCGCTGTTGGATTTACGCGATCGTCTCCCTCGCCCCTCGTATTGGCGTAAAAAGGCACACGCAGGCAGCGGATAATTGTGCGATACGGTTTTGAGAGAAAAGTACAACTTTAACGGAGATTGAGCTGCGCGAGGGCAATTACCAAGATACGATCGCTGCATTTATATTAAAGCGTCGTTTAACTTCAACGCGGCGACAATTAAGATTATTCCCTCTGAAAATAAGTGCCACGTTCCGACGAAAAGACGCACAAGTGCGGATTGCCTGAAAATTTATTTGGCAGAAAAAGTTAAACCACTCGCCAAGGAAAACATAGCCGGACATTGTGCGCAACGTAAGAGCCTGATGTACGAAGCGTTTGAGACAAAGCAAACTGACAGAACTGGCCGCATCTGGTGCGTGGCTACGTATACGTATATATGCTGGGAGTGTGTCATCGGAGCGAGATTGGCCTGCGGGCGTCTTAGCCGCTACCGCTTGTTTTGGTGCGCACACGCCCACGCCCTGCTTTCTGGATATCGATGCCGGCGCTCGTTCCGAGCCATTGCCTCTCGATCATCTTGGACGCGCCGTATCTTTCTGTATGTTTCTGCCGACCCGACTGCTCTGACGCTTCGCTGATTTAAATTTCCGCGTTGCTGCCACAGGCTCTTTTGCATGGTCGATGAGCGAGCCAACGCGCAGCAACGACGCCCTTCTAGCCAGCGATCCATTCGCTAATACACTCGAGTATTAGGATTGTAATTTTTCGTCTGCGCGCCAAACTGAGCGAATAAAGTTTCCCTCTTTCTCTGCGGGTTATACGCCGCTAATTAATTTGGAGGCACGCGTAAAAAGCTCGTTGCGATGGCTATGCGAGAATCGCATTTAAAATTGTCGCTCTAACGAGACTATTAACACTCGGCTGTTTGCGAACCAGAGACGAATGCCCATTCACACGCTCGGCCCCTCGACTTTCTCGCGCCCACTTATTTTTACTTAGAAAGCTTTTTCTGCGCTTTTCGCGATATGGGCGCGCCACTCGCACTGGCTGTCTGCATTTCAAGCAAGCTCAAGCGAATCCTTAATTAATCATCAGCTTCCTCGAGTAGAATATTAATTTGGCGCTCGGCTCCGCTGGCAGCTCGTTGTACTTGACAGGATTATCTGTTATCGGTTGGATTATCAATGAAATTTAATCGATAAGTCATTCCACTGAATGCATGGGAAGGTAAGAAAGAAACCGACGAGTCGTCGATAATTGGCTAATTACGAGTAGGAAATGTTCAATTAGTGCCGGTAGTCGACTAGTGCGTCAATTTAATAGTGAAGCTCAGGTCGAAGAGGCGCGTCTTTTATCGATTGCGCCCACGCCACCTGCACGGATGACAATGGCCGTAGCGCGCATCCAGAGAGAACCGCGCGAAGCCTGCCGCCAGCGCCAAGTGCCTTATACTCGTATACCGCGCCAACATTCCACGTAAATTGTCGGCCTACAACTTTCCACGCTCTCGGAGACTCGAAGCATCTCGATTTGTTCTCTCCTTGCCTTGCCTATACCTACCTACCATCGGTTTTTCTCTCAAGTAGACTCTTCATCTTTCGCGCTTGTTTTTCATTGATTTTTTTCTTAGGGGAAAATAGCCCAGTCATTCCAAGCGAGCTTTCCTTGAGATGGCCACGAAAAAAGTCGCTTCATTTTTAGTTGCAAAGAAGAGTCGCCAAGTTCACGATAGCCACGAGGTTAATTTGCTCAAACTTGCGTTTAATAGGGACGAAAAGAAACTAAAAAATCCGCGTCGGAAACTTTTATCGCTGTTCAAATTCCGAGCGGACGAACAATTTCGTAACTTTTCTTTTCTTACTAAAATATTTGCGCTGGAGTTCTGAGTTTAAGTTTTGTTAGCCACGAGGACGATTTTTCAAAAGGACCAGAAATAACGAGAATATCTCGAGTAGCGCGCTATGTAGGTACACATTGGACGAAACGTAGCTCGGATGTCGAAAGAAGATTATTGCTATTATGTCGAGATAACGCAGGGAAGGAAAATTTATGAGAGCAGTTGTACTTGGCTTAAAATTTATATTTATACGCTATTTAGACCATAAAGGGGATCGGTGATAATGGCTGCGAGGCTAACCAGAGAATAGTCTTATTTTTTTGCAGAGAAAGTGTTCGTTTAGTAGGAGGCAAAAGCATATAAGAACATATAAGTAAGCAGTTTGTTGGATAAGGCTCACGAGGAATAGTGACAAAAATAGTACCACGTTGACGATCGCGATCGATCATAGTTGCCGGATTGACGAGGTTCGAGGGTGAATGGAAACAGTGGCATATAGATACGTGTGCATGTGTGCGACAGAGAGGGGGGAGGGGATAAAACAGCTACGCGTTGCTCAAAAGCCATTGTGACACAGAAAGAGAGAACGAGGCTCTCGACTTTTTCTTGCGTGGGGCGTGATATCGTCTGCCGGAGGATAATGGCTCTCTCTCTCTCTCTCTCTCTCTCTCTCTCTTACTCTCGCAGAGCGTCGGCAGAAGCGGAAGCAGAAAGCCAGCTCGTTGCGCTCGCGGCCTTGCCGAAATACGAGTATTCGGGTTTTATTATAGACCGAGCACAATGGAAAGCCGCAGACAACCAGGCGAACCCACTTTCGTCTTACCTTTACGAGGACGTATTTGCTCTCGATGATACGCGACACGAAGGACGATGTCTTTCGTTGTTCTCCGAGCGTCTTTCGTTGCGAATGAATTCGAGCAAGGGAAACAAGCGGAAGCCAAATTCGCGCGTGGCTAAAGCCTTTGATCGTGCTCGAATTTGAATCCAGTCATCGTCGTTGTCTTTCTCTCTCTCTCTCTCTCTCGCTCTCTCACTGAGCCACAAATCCGAGCGACCAATATTTGCAGTTTCGCTCTCGGTCGCTAGCTCCACGGCTGCAATGACGAGTCCAACAGTTGTCCTCGCATGCCCCACACAGCGCAACGGATAGCGCCTGGCAAAGCTCTCTTTAATATATTTCATCGCCGACTCTGACGCGCGGCAAATTCAATTTGAATACGCGCGCTCTGCGTGGATAAAGGACGAGCGTGCTGCTGCTCTAGTATTTCTCGGCGTCCTTTGAGGTCGCACTCTCGAAAGTATGCCGTGTCTCTCGCGATGACGACTGACCCGCTTATCCAGCTGCAGCCAGCTCGCGTTAATCGACCACAACCATTAGCAGCAGCGCTTCTGAAATGCGAAGCCGCTGCTCGTGTAATTTCACATCCCGTGCACGCGCGATGCTCCGGACGCCAAGCCCAAGCCAGTTGTGAGAGCGTTGGTCTGCATTGCAGGAATTCTCGCAGCTGACGAAAGAGCTGACGACCGCGCGGGAGAGCATCCTCGAGAAGGAGGAGGAGATTGCGGAGCTCAAGGCCGAGCGCAACAACACGAGGGTGAGTGCAATTTAAGGGCTATTGTCGTATAATTCACCCCCAATTCTTTTTTTTTTTTCTCTACTCCATCGGTAATCCGCGGGTCTAATGAAGACGATCGATATTACGTGCTGCCAAGCGAGCGCGCACGCAACAAGTTTCCGTTCAATGCTACGCCAGATTGACTCTCATCGATCGCGCCAGTGAAAAAGAGAAGCATGGAATTGCAGCTGATATTTGGCAGATGACGCGCGTTTAACGGGGCACAAGGAGCGCCGAAGCCGCTTCATTATGCATAATTACACTGTCGGCTGCGATAAAGCTCGTTGACGTCGGTCAATCTAGAGCAAGCCAAGTCCTAATTCACTTATCCGTCGAGCGCGCGAGTGCGCGAGTGGTGTTTTCGACGCAGAGACACGTCGCGCGAGCTTTCAATATCTGCAGCTGAATAGCAAACCAAATCAGAGCAATAATTGCGAGCGCGCCGCTTGAATTGCATCCCGATATAACCGCGCAAACTGGAAACTAGCGCGGCGATAACGTGTCGCCCGCATCAATTCGAAATATTGCGCGTGCACGTTGAAAATGCAGCTGGCAATGGATACCCCGGCGATTGGCCTGCGGCTCGCATCGGTCCCGGATTTCAGAAGGAAGCTTGATCGTCGTATTGTTGCAGCTGCTGCTGGAACACCTGGAATGCCTGGTCTCCAGACACGAGCGCTCGCTGAGGATGACGGTGGTGAAGCGCCAGGCCGCCGCCCAATCGGGCGTCTCCTCAGAGGTCGAGGTGCTCAAAGCACTCAAGAGCCTCTTCGAACATCACAAGGCCCTGGACGAGAAGGTACGCGGCTAATCTGCACGAACCAAGCATTCTTTTGTATCCTTCGCTACTACTTACAGCTGCAATCGAAGGCATGCTTGGCTTTTCATCCTGGGCAAATATTCGACGTACAATCGTGATTATTACTTGGCACGTCTTTATCTGCTATATTCCTCGGCGTATATAGTACATTTTCGATAACCGTTACGATTACTATAGCGCTGCATCTCATTGTAATCTCTATCACGATACTGAATGAAACTGCAATTGTTCTCGTTACCTAAGTCATTTCCTTGTATTACTCGTCTATTTACATCAAAATCTTTCGTGAAATAGTTAAACCACCATTTGTATTCCCACCGGTATAAAAATCGTTTTACAAACAAATCAAATACCTACTTCATTCTTACAGCGAGGCAGTTCAGTTTTATTAGGTTTTCTCAATAAAAACTTCATTGTAAGCTTGCCAAGTAAACAAACTATTTCTTTTCCGAATGAGATTCTATTGTAAACTGAAATTCCACAGTTTAATTAAATCAACAGCTAATTTAATTTGTATGGGCGCAAGAACAAAAAGTTTGCGTAATTAAAAAGAGTGAAGCAGGTGGCAATTTTTTAATTCGAACTTTGTGCGTGTGTCAAATAGGTACGAGAAAGATTGCGCGTCGCCCTCGAGAGGAATACGAGCTTGGAAGAGGAACTCTCCCATATCAAAGAAGAGGTAAGGAATCGTGCATGTAGGTCAAGAGGCTGCCGCTGCCACCGCTTCGTTACTCTTCGTCGGACAAGGAGAGAACTCGCGAGAGAATTATTAAAAAAAAACAAACAAACAAACAAACAAACAAAAAAGAAAACCAACAGTGAATATATCACGTGCTTTTTACTGAGTGTTGCAAGTGCTGTTGTCGTGAGCGTCTCGTGACAATGCAGACAGAAAGAACATTTCCTTTCGCAAACAAATCGATTTGCTCGTCTAACCGCACGCGCGTGGTTAACAATGTCCGCGTAAAAAGTCCATTGGCAAGTCGATAGTAATTAGTTCTTAACACTCTGATATAACGCTCATCGCTTGTCCGCCGGCGGCCTTGCTCGGCGTTGTAGACAACAAAAAATTACCCGTGCGCGAGACTGTATACTCAACCTTGAGTTCATTTGCTTTATAAAAACTAGGAGTGGATATTTTTACGAGATTAAAATGTCAATCACTAATGCTCTCGCCTATCGATGCCCTACATTCTACATGCGAAGTATTGCAATTATTTTTCTTCCGTGAGTCCGCATAACCGGCGCCGGTTTCTTGATTTCAACGCGCTGCAATGAGCGGCTTTCTCAGGGCACACCTTTAGTGCATTCTTCTTCGCTGACGGTGCGTACGCATCGAAAGAAATGGCCAAATCTATAAATAGACAATAAACGATACTATATTTCGTGATTTCTGCAATGAAATGTGACAGTCAATTAATTTTAGTACCACTCGCAGCTTCAACAATACAAATCCGGTCACGTGCCGAAATCCCTTGACGATCGGCCGAAGGAGAACGGTCAGGCGGATGACAGCCATCAGCATCAGCAGCAGCATCAGCAGCAACAGCAGCAGCAGCAGCAGCAGCAGCAGCAGCAGCAGCAGCAAAAGGTAAAGAACGTCGCAAAAAATATTGCACGCGCAGCATACATACGAGCGCCGTGACCCTGCGTCATCGATCACACCGACACTCGCCTCACATACTCACATTACAACTCTCGCTCTTTATCTCTTTCTTGTAGTCCTTATCGTTCTTCTTCTTCTTTTTTCATAGTGACGTCTACTGCATTCTGCCGTATAGCAAAGCATGCTGTTTTTTTTTCATTTGTAGATTGCGCGTATGGAAAACAAAAGTCCAACGCCACTGTCATTATTTGAATTTCAATTGAGCGCTTTAAAATTAATCGGCTTGAAATATTACGTCAATGTAGATGTGCGACGAAACGTCAGGACTTTTGTTTTCACTATGTCCAAATCTGATACCTTTTCACTCCTTGTCGTTTAACCCTCCCACCTTCGACATTACTCTTCGTTAATATTTATGGGAATGCACAGGTAATGCAAATTTTCGTGAACGGCTCTAAGTCGTTCCTGAGTTTATATTGAACTATAAGCATTTTGCTGTATAACACTTTTGTATTGTATATATTGATAGTAACAAGCTGTCTATGCCTATCTATTTCTCTTTAATTCACTTCTTTGTGATATAAGACTAGAAAAAATTATAATGTCTGAATAACGATAGTCAATTGTAAAGTAAATAAAACAGTACAAACGACCCGTAATACTAATCCATGATGTAGTGCTACACAGCCTTATCGAATGTATTTGCTCATTTCCGTATTAAAAATCTTTGCGTATGTTTATAATTGTTATATTCGCTGTGGAAAAATCAAGATTTTCCTTCAATTATCTCGGGTTTCATTTTATTACTGGTTATTACATGGTTCCTCTCCTAAAGCTATTCTGCCCTTCATTTTCATACTCCTATTTCCATTCTCACGATCAAAATCATAATAGGTAGTTTCGTATTCCGCAAGCATCATGAGCGGTATAATTTGGGTAGCTCTGCAAAGGCATGAGAAGTATACGTAATTCGTATCATTTATCCAACAAGATAGTTCATGAAATGTCATTTGGAAATTCATTCGAAACGAAATAACTCGGCGCATAGCGTTGAAAAAACGAATGTTTTCTGATACCCGACTATCGGAATACGAAGCGCTATTCTTTCATCTCGCGGAAGTAAAGAAAAAAAGGAAGAATGATCCGTCGAAAAACCCGAGACTAATCTGCCCTCGCCGCACAATACCCATATCCGGCATTCCAGCGACTAGTCCAGCATAGCAAAACCGCTAAGCAAATATATGAATTGGGCAGAGAAGCGCGCGAGTAGTGATCTATTGCGCATTAAAAGGAAATAAAGAATCAAAAGAATAGGGGCACTAGAACGGAATGTAGAAGTATGCTCTATCGTGTGTAATGTGTATCGGGGAAAAAACAGCAGAATCCTGCAACCGAGGAACTGGCAATCCAGGAGCAACAGCAGCAACAGCAGCAACAACAACAGCAGCAGCAGTCGGTGCAGTCGCAGCAGCAAAGTAACACGCAGGACTCGATGGTCGAGGCTAGATTGAGTAACGGCGCCATCGAGGTCCCCGACCACCGCTCCAAACTCAAAGACTTGCAGACCAACCTCGACAAGCAGGTATGCGTCCATTTCCCCATCCTCGACTTAACCGGAAATCGATGTGTCCAAAAGAGCCGTATACGCAAATTAAGTGAATAATAATCTACAGCGGATTGACAAAACTTCTCGTCAAAATTCAATTTTTAATAAGGCTATTTTTAATATGGTAATATGTCCAGCGTACTAGTATAATACTCGCTCTATTTAGTTCTTTCAGTAGTTGTAGTCTGATCTTCTATCTATCAAAACAATCCACATCTTACTCTGAATAAACTCGATACTATGTGTAGGTATGTGTACGTGTGTGTGTGCGCGTGCGTGAATGCGTGTGGAAAAACAATACAATGTGCTCTGGATTTTTACACACTGCATGCTTTTTATATTAATCAAGTAGTAGTTATGAATACATTCATGATGATTTATTCGTAAAAATGTCTCATGAGTATACAAATGCAAGCTTTGACAAAATACACCAGACACAATCTATCGTGCACCCCTTTCAAGTGATTCTATAAGAGTGTGCATGACCGTTTTATTGTAAGAGAACAGAGTCCGTACCTACAGTAAAATTTCATTGTTTTATTATGATTTTTTTTATTAATAACGAACTTTTGAATAAAGGTTTTATAAGATAAATTTACATTACATATTATACTAGCTATGATAATGAATGGCTACTAACAATAACTTATATGATGTTGCTAAAAATGTTCCTTCTGAAGCAAATTTATATCAGAACTATACAAAAATATTTCTAAAACAAAACGGTAATGGAATTAGACATCTTATTCTTGAACCAATATCAGTTTACAGATAATTTATAAACTATGCTGAGATTTAATCATAGTGGTCAGTTGCAAAACATTTTTAATCCCTTGAGGCCCATACCAAAACTGGATGAGATAGCTCCAAAATAACTGTGCCATTCATCATCAAATCGAAAAAAAATACCCGTGTTTTTTCTTTTTCTATTTGCAAATGTTTATAAAAATTTATTTAAACAAATTATTGTTTATTAGTTTACTATTAATTTATAAAGTTATTATTTTTCAAATCTGATTGCGGCAATCGATTCTATGGGAAAAACTATGGAAAAAATGTGTATAACATTTGTTGTCGGACTTCAATTTGTCATGAAAAATATATATCAAACATTGAATTTCCGCTTTTGCTTAGGATTTTGTGAAGTACTTTGACTATCGGAGCTGTGATTATTAATTTCCGTTTTACACAACAAAGTGAAGTCCAACAAAAAAATGTTATACACAGGTATTTTTTTTTCGATTTGCCTATGAATGGCACAGTTAGTTTGGTGTTATCTCATCCAGTTTTGGTATGAGCCTTAATGGGTTAATTTAATGGATATAGAAGAGTAAATTATTGATAGTATAATTTTCATTTTTGATGCTACATATTACCACAAAAAATCATGTGGTACTATGTGAAAAAAGCAAAAATTAAAGTTTCACGGTTAATTTAATGTAGAATCTGTAGGAACATGAGATGGTAAAATGTTATGGTTGATAAAACTTTGTAGAGCGTGGAGTTGAGTACATGGCAGCGGAGGGTGGCGGAAATGAGTAGTCGCGTGGCTGAGTTGGAAGAAACGCTAGCCAAGACGCAAAAAGAATTTCTCAAGGCTCAAGATGCCAATGTTAAGCTGCAACGCGATCTCCGCGAAAACGTCGCCCAAAAGGAGGACCAGGAAGAAAGGATAGCCACCTTAGAGAAGCGATACCTCAACGCTCAGCGAGAATCCATTAGCCTACACGATCTCAACGAGAAGCTCGAGCAGGAGTTACAGCACAAAGAAGCACAGTTGAAGGTATTTTTGTTTGCCTGCAGTTTGTTCTCTAAAGTTCTGCAAACTTTTCATCACCTACCCTACATATTTCAAGACTTATAAGACGTAGATTCCTGTGTATTCACATGTTTAAGCATCTTGAAGTTAACAATTTACTTAATATCTCATTTGTCTCAATTGTAGAAAAAAATGTCTATCGGCGAATATTGTAATTTTTTTAAGAAATCGCTGTTATTGAAAAAATTGCCAATTCATCGAAAAGATTAATCGAGTAATCACAGTTCTACAGAATATTTTTAATTGAATGCCATTACGAGTAAGGCCTTCAAGTTTATATTTATCCGTCTTACTATCTATCTGTTATGTTATCTGTCGGAATAACGAAGTACAAATACTCACGCGGTAAAATTGAATTTCAAAAAAAGGAAATGCAGGTGGACGAGGTAGTGAATTCGCGTCAGTGGGTCGCATTCATACCCAATTCGTAAAATATTGAGAGACGTTGTCTTGTTTGCTCGGGTCGGAAGATGAAGATAAAACAGCGTTGCTCGAGTGAGTTGAGGCATTCGCGATAAAGATAAATAATTAATGACGAATGTGTCTTTTTTGCTGCTGCTTCTTCTGCTCATCGTCGTACGAAATCAGTTGCAAGAGGAGAAAATAGCAGCGGTGCAGCAGAAACTGGAACACGCCGAGCAAGAGCTGGCACAATTCGCTAAGTTGCCCGAGATGGAGGAGCAGCTTAAGCAGAGGATGGAGGCTCTGACGCAGGTGAGGAGGCCCAACCAGGTACGCAAGGGGATTCCATATCATCTCATCGATATTTCCTTACTTTATCATCGCTCCTTTCTATCTCTATCTCTTCTCAATTTTATTTTTGTGATTTTACTCTTCACTTATTACATTTCTACGGTATAATTTCTGCGCTACTCTCAACTTTTGAGAGGAATGTTTTGCTGGGAATTTCATTTCTTGATAGTTTCCAGACTTTGTCATTTGCCGCGAGCTTCGTCGGAGCTTCCAGAATTAATAAGGACTTTAGTCGAGCAATAAAATCATATTACATTCAACCTCATGCTTATAACTTTTCCAACTTACAAACTGATCACTCGAATAATTATGATATACAATTTGAGTCGGAAGAAGAAATGATATAGTAAAATGACACAGTCAGAGTTGATATTTTCGAGTTTCTTATTTTATTAATACTTTTTTATAATCTGTGTGTCGTCTTTCTGCACATATCCTGCACTTCAATATATTTCAAATTATTGAAACTTAGAACTTTTTTAAAGCAGGTAAGTTTGATGAACTATAGGTGTTTCTATGTCATAACGGTTTCGTTTCACAAATCTTTTTGTTTAACATAAATTTATTTACTTGCTCTTACAATCAGAGAAAATCAATATCCTCTCAACTGTGTCGTTAAATAACATGCTCATTATGTATTCTTTATTGTAAGATTAAAGAATCTTCTTATTTATTCGGTTTACTGTACAAGAAATGAAATTTACCATTTAAAAGTTAACGAAAATGAAACTATTGAAATATATCTTTACTTACTTTTCATTCACCACTGATTTCATTAATTCTTTAATAAGAAGGCCTTCATTTATTTTATTTTCGTATTCTTTCTTAGTTGATTTTTACATTCTGTCATTGTCCTTGATGGTCTCAATGTTCATAGCGAAATCTCACTGTTGTGTGGTGTTTAGAGGGATCGATGATATTGTTTAATATAATATGGTCATCGATACCTACACGTAGATACATAACGGAGACACGCACATCAACATTTCACTGAACATTATTCCACCAATACATTTCCATTGAACAAACATTCATATCATCTCATCTCATTTCATCTCATTTCATCTCATTGTCATCAACTCATAAAAAAGGTTCCCTTGCTGTGCTATTTTTATTATTAATATTTACAGGAATTAGTTTTATGGTATGGAATTTCTTTTTAATTGTTTACATTTGTTTGTTTTAAAAAGATATGTAAAAGTCGATTCTGATACGCAACTATAATGATTACCACTTTATCTCTTATTTTTTGCTTTTTAACCCGTAGATCAACAATTTATCCTTAAGTAGCTCACACGCATCATTTTCCGCTTAACATTTTAAGAAATACAATTTTTTCATGAACTTTGTAAAACATATTAAATATTGATTACACTTCATTGTAAATATCTTTAATTTTATTCATCTGTTTAATTGATCTAGTTTCTAGTTTGCTTTACTAAACCATTTTCCAATGAATTATTCAATTTAAACATCAGTTTCCTAAAAATTGAATTTTATTGTTACACTGATCATAACTGACTTTTACATTTCTAAAATCCAATCGTTATTAGTTTTTTGTTAATTTAATTATACCATTGAATTGAATCAATATAACTCTTATACATTCGAAACTTGTACATACAAACAAAACAACTGTTTTAGTAATGCACCGAAATATAGCATGCTATTATAAGATACTGTATTTGGTGTGAAATTGATAAGAAATAAAAAGGATTAAATACAGTAAAAATAAGTATAAGAAATGCAATGTTTACTTATTGGCTCAAGCAAATAATAATTCAATTTCAGCCAAAGCTGTGTAGTTAGCGCTCCAAACATTACCTTTTCTACTTTACTTTATAGTCTGTAAATTCTCGGTGTATTGTGCCTATCTTACTTTACTCTGCTATTCTTAATAACTTTATATTTTACACTGAAAGAAGTATTTTACCAAAGTTGTTTATAAAAAATTGTAGATAAAAAGTCCATTTGCTGTAGCTAAAAAGTAAAGTAACTAAAATTGAAGTTTGCAATATATTGATAAAAGTAACATAATTGAGTAGAGTTGATTGGTTTTTTAAAAAATTTATTGAAAATTTGAACTTTGCAAGAGAAAAGTAGAAAGGGTAATTTTTAATTATTTTTGTGTCGATGTTGTGAAACTAAGCAGGCTCAAGAGAGGCACGGTAGCGCCGAAGACAGAATTCAAAGACTGGAGACGCAGCTCGAGGAGAAAACTGCTGAAGTCATGCGACTCAATCAGAGACTGAAAATGAACGAGGAGCACAATGCCAGACTCAGTTCTACTGTTGACAAACTTCTGTCTGGTAAACTTAATTTGCTTAATGATTTATTATTTCTAACGCATCTCTATCTAATTAACTTTTTCTTTCATAAAAAGGTGAATATTATCACCTTCATTTGGTTTGATTTTAATGATTAATTACTCAAGTACCGAATAAGTAACTAATACATTTATAAAAGGATTTAATATTTATTCTTGTGTTTAAACTTTTTTTTTTTATAAGGAATAGTGAATAGATACAAAATTATCAATTGAAATCATGTCAATAATAATAATAATAATATAATTACATGAAAATTAAATATTCTAGAGTTTCAGTTAGAGTTTATTGTTGGATTCTTGCAATTGATTTAAATAAAGTATAATTATTTCGCTAAGTTATTGTGGAATTGTTTAATGCCAATAAAATATATAAAATTGCGATTTGGTTCATAATTGAATGGACGTAATAAGTAAGAAACGTATTTTTGTAGAATCGAACGAGAGACTACAAGTGCACCTGAAAGAACGAATGCATGCGCTGGAGGAGAAGAATGCACTGCAACAAGAGTTGGAGAAGATGCGTAAGATCTCGGAGGACCTACAGAATGAGAAGGCGGAAATAATGAAGGAGTTGGGCAAGGCGCGCCTCGAGATCGATAGCGTCAAGCGGCAGATGCTTCAGCAAGAAATCGCTTTTAATATCCAGCAAACAGATGCGCTCACGAGGAGCCTCTCGCCCAATGCCGTCGACCCGGGTAGCTTCTCGCGAAGTGCCAGCCACAGCAGCTTTGACACGCATTCGCTGCCCAGAAAAGCCGCCAAGCGACTTGAGGATGATAAGGTACTTGCACTTTTTTTCGTCTGTGAATGCCTCAATATCAAATATCTATTCAGATTTATCAATGAGTAACATGCAATCGATTCTTTAAAATTTACGTTTTTTGAACTGTCGCCCAACATTAGACGACGTTTCGAAAACTACTTACAAAACGATTTTCATTGACATATAAAATTGTGAGAGTAATAAACTATACTAATTATAAAGTATGCTATGATATACTAAAATCCATTTATCAAATAAACTTTGCTTCTGTATATATTCTGTTTAAAAATTTAACGTCGATTGTCAGATGATTCAAGCCATAGTTGCGTACTTTATATAAATTTAGAAATAAGTTATAATTGAAAAACTATAACAATTTAATCTGTTCGTTTGTACCAAAGTGGTATAGAAAGAGCTTCGGACTCGTGCCACCTGATCCCTATCCATTGGTGAGCATCGCCAATAGAACTTATATAGAACAATCATTTTTAATCTTTGTGATTTTTTAACCAAGATGAATCATTTGTATACTAATTGACAGTGTGTGTGTGTATGTGTATGTATATATATATATATATATATATATATATATATATATATATATATGTTGTCACCTCCATGACGGTACTGTTGTACATATTTTGTTTGAACATCAAAAGCATACTTTTTTATACGTATTAATAGTCCTTCATTAGACTCTAGTTATCAACCGCTTAGTATTCTTCACTTTTTTTTAACAATAGCAGCTATAATATCAACAGATCTTGATAGCAAACGCATCGTCTATTTTTCAATTTTTCATTTTAACATTTTTCTAAGGTTATCGCATCGAATGCTCAAAATGTATCGACCCTATATGAACATCATTAAGTCTCAATCAGATGTTTCTATCGACGATTGTCCATCATAGTTCACACATTTATTCTGAATGTTTATCTTTTAAGTAATTATATCACTAGGTATATTATATTCATCGTCATTAACAAGCGAACGTAATATATGATATCCCCGCTGACGTCAAAGCTTGACGTGCTTCGCACTTGATGGCTTCCAAAGACCTCGGAAAATTATTGCGGATAGTATATGCGTAAATTATATTGTGGCTGAAAATGGCTATACAAGACGCTATCCGCAATATGTAACGAGTTGCGTTCGCCAATCAAGTGGCGAAAAATGCAGCAGCAACAGCAGCAACAGCAGCACGGAGCAATAAAGATGCGTCTCTAACGATTTTCATCTTGGGTGTGGGCACATAGGGTTACATCGCGCGAACGTTGGCCGAGCAGGAATGGGAGAAGTTGCAGCAAGCTCACGTGCTTGCGAACGTACAGCAGGCATTTGATGTGTCGAGCGATGCCGAGGGTGATGGCGACAACGAGTCTCTGCTGAGTTGCGCCGCCGACGTCATTAGCCCCACCGGGCACACCGACGCCCAGACTCTCGCTCTCATGCTGCAGGAGCAGCTAGACGCTATCAACAATGAAATAAGGCTGATTCAGGTACGACCGACCCTCCTTAGTTGCCTGTGCTGCCAAAGTACTGATATACTACCATGCACATTCACAATATACCACATATCTTATGTATACATACACTGAGCAGAGAGATATTGTCTACACACTAGCGTTTACGAAGGATTTCTATTTAGTGTTTATTACTTTACGACCTCTTGGTGAAAAAAATATGTGTTGTAGCAGTCTTTTACAGCTGTTTTTGCTCTTTGAATACTCTTTACTTAAGCGAACGGCATTTCAAAATTAATGTGATACATACAATTTTATCAGCAACTGTTTTTGGTAACTTATCTCGTACGATAAATAAAGCTAAACTGCTACATCAAACACAATAAACAACTTTTTTTACCAGAAACGCATGAATTTCATCGATGAATGAATATATTTTAGAAATGAGCTATGAATTACAAGTAGTTTTTGAATACTCTCGAATCTGCTGTCGCATTGTACTTACTTTTCAATTTTATAGACAAAAATACTATTTTAGCTGATTTCAACGATTTCTGTTTTGCACTTTTATCTTTATACAATTTTTTAATGCACGTCAAGTTTATTAGAACTTTTATTATTTACAAATCCTCAAGGGAGATGCAACGAAGCCCTTTGTCAGCAAAAACGACCACGTAAACCTTAATGTGTCATTATCGATCATTTTCATTGTTTTTTTATTTTTATCGAATCATCTTTTTCTTTTTATGCTCTTCTTATTGCAGTAATTTTTGTTTATCAATTCTTATATTGTAACTGTAAATCGACTTTTGTGAAATATTATATTAAAAAATAATCAAATTATAACTTTTCAAAATGAAAATTGCATGAATATGTAAGATATTAATTTGCAAAATTATTATTTTTCTTGTACGTTCAGTAAAGCTTTCTTCTATTGATTTGTAATTTCGTATTGAATATCTTTACAATTTTTATAAAATGAATGAAAATATTAAAATTAATTGAGATTATATTTGCATAATAAATTGTCTATATAATATTCATCTTATAATTTTATTTAAAATTTTACATAGTGGCCATTCTTTTGGTAAATAATTTTCCTGTAAATTTTATTGCTGCAATCCAAAATGTTCCAATGTTTTCAGCGTCACTACATGGAATCGTGTGTTTTGAATGACACAATGTCTATGGGTGGCCACTGTGTAACGAAACTTTATCATTCATGGCGCAATTCACTAAATTATGTATCATGTATTATCATAAAGCGCAGTTTCTCTCGTGCTGGAGAAAGGCGCAGGGCATTGTTCATAGATTCATGAAAAAAACGTTTTGTTAATGCATCCTCGTAGGAGGAAAAGCAAAGTACAGAGGCGCGAGCGGAAGAGCTGGAGTCAAGGGTGGGTAGTTTGGAACATATGAATTTATTAGCACGAGGCCGAAGTCTCGAGCGTGCTTCTCCTCCACTTAGTGGCAGATCCACCCCAAAATCACATCACAGCCCCAACCGAGACTACTTGCACAAGTACCATACTGTGAGTAATTACTACTACAAACAACAACAAACCTCCATGCCAGTCTACCCTATATATATATATATACTTTTATATGTATCAATACCTTTAAATACTTACTTATATATACTTCATGGTTTCTTGCGTTCTTAGCCATTAGTTGCGTGTTCAAGCTTATATACTCTGACTATCTCTGTCTCTGTATACATGTACATTACTTGTACTACACCTTTCACTGCTACTACTGCTACTACTACTACTACTACTACTACTACTACTACTACTACTACTACTACTACTACTACTCCTATACTTGCTACTCTATCCATACTCTCTGCGCATTGTCGTTCGTCTCTGGACTTTTCGCGTTGTCATTTATTCTTATTCTTATACTTTAACTTTCTGTCTCATATTCTTCTGTATCTTTTCTCCTTCTCTCTCTCTCTCTCTCTCTCTCTCTCTCTCTCTCTCTCTCTCTCTCTCTCTCTCTCTCTCTCTCTCTCTCTCTCTCTCTCTCGATCTTTCTCTTGATCTCTCTTTTGCATAACTCTACTATACTAAGCAAAAATCACTCTTAGTTCTCGTACACAGTTGTTGCACCCATTGGTGGAAAAATGCTCACAATCGTAAAGCTTTACGGGAATGACTCTTCAATGTTACCGCTTGAATAAAGTTTTCCAAAATAACTCGGTGTGCCATGATTATTTTCCATTTAAAAACTTGAATGATTGTGATTCTTGTCTTTATTTTATGCTTGACGTGAAGTATTACGTTTCTGTATAATGCTTCATTGATTTTTTAAATAAAGTAATATGTACTCAGCAAAAATTTTTCCACCAAAAGTATTTGGTAAATGATTAGCGAAACCTTGCATGAAGATTAAAAGAGTACAAAAACAAAAAGCTTGTTAGTCTCTGAGAGAACCCAATTTGAAAAAGGGAATGTATGATATATTGGCACTTGATTAGAGAGAGAAAAAGTTTAGATGAAACAAGGTTAATCAGGCAAATATTGTTGGTCGAGAACTGCAACGAGTGGTTTGGCGGACGTTGAACTTGGTGTTTCAGGCACCAGCGTCAATGTCCCCAGCACATCTTCATCAATACGCCGCGTCTTTGGCTAGCCCCGGTCAACTCTCCGAGTCACTTCCTGCGAGCCAGGTTCGTTAGCTCTCCTCATCACTAGGAGATCGTAGGACTTCTTCTCTTATCTTTTTTATTTCCCTCGTGTTTTCGTTTTTCTTTTCTTTCGCAAGGTCTTTCAATCTTGTTTTCTCATAATTTGTTTGTTGTGATTCATAGGATAACTATGTTCTTTGTATAACAATTAAAAAGATAACGTTATGAAAAATAGATGATTCAAAATCAACTAATTGTCAATTAACTTTCGCAGAAGATTCTATTTTTCATAATATATAACCTCACTTCAAAAAGGTAAATGCATTTGAATTTGAAAATATCTTATTTTAGTGTAAGTACATCGGATACATTTACCTGCGACAACAGAAACTTATGAATAATGAAAATAAACTGAATGAAATTCGCTACAAAAGTAGCTGCGTCACCGCGCAAAGTTAAATGATGCTGCAATGACAGAGTATTTAGTGGACATCGCAGCAATTGTTTGACTCAATTTAAAAATGTGAAAACATAAAGTGCACCGAGAAAAGCTTCGTAAGGCTATTCAGCTACTCACTAGGTCGGCAATATAAGTATAGAATAATGCTTTCTGCCTGTGGCAGTTGCAGCTGTCTGGCGACGAGCTTCATTCGCTGTCGGAGAGTCAAACTGGCTTAGGAAGCGGCGGCAGCGAGGCCGCATCGCCACTCACCGCCAGGTCCATCAGACTCGAGCGCGTCGCTCAGGCGTTGGCCAACAGTCAAGAAGAGTTACGAAGGTATGTCATAGCAACTACCATTGCCGTCGTCCTTTAGACGCATCATTTCCGCGAGCACGTTTGGCCGACTTGCCAGATGCGTCGACGTGCAAATTGGTCGGCCGTGCTCGCGCGAGTATCTCGTGAATTTCGGAGGATGCGCGAGCCGGTACTGGAGATTTCTTTGTGTCACGCCTGAGTAGTACTCTTAGAGAAAATAACTCTGTGAAAGAGAGCACAAGATTGCGTCACATTTGTCAAACGTAGGCATTTCAATGCACAATGCCACCCTGGCTGCGACAACCAAGGGTTGGTTTCGCGCGGGCGCGCGCGCGCGCGTGTGTGTGCACTGTGCACGTATAGGTGCAGCGATATCTGCTTGAGCCTGCTCGTCGAAAATAATGAGCTTTCGCGTGCTCGTCCGATGAACAATGCACACGCACACACGCGCACTCGACACAGTCTCACACAGAGTGGTTCAAAAGCTTAAGCGGTCGCTCGAGGAGATCAATTTGCCAATCGGTTTTAATTAAACAACAGCAAGCAGAGACATCTCTCCTCTGGCGGCGGCGGGCAAACAAAGCGTTACTGCTATAGCTGCTATCGAGCTTATCGAGCTTTAACCGAGGTTTTTGCTTTTCTATGTTTTAATCTTCAATGCTACGCGCCGCACAAGCAGACGCACCGGACAAAGCGGATTCCCAAGCGGTGGTTACTCCATGCACAGGTTAATTAATAATTTTGACGCTGCATGCTTCTCTTATGATTCTACACTGCACTATGCAGACCTTTACGGCATTTTCGGTCAGGCAATGGGCAGCCTTGGGCATTTTCATCTAGATTCCGACGGTAACCCTCACAACCCCAAATATTTCTCCTCTCTCACTTCACTCTTAGGCTTTATTTGACATTGCAAAACCGACTCAATTTTTCGGCCCACCTTCGCTACTATTGGCGGAAAAAATGAGTCCTATTCGATGACATGATCCAAGTATGAATAACACAGCTGTATAACGCACTGATGTAACAAAGCAAGAGGGGAAGGATATATAGAAAGGGAGGAAGACAAGAAGGAGGAGGAGGGAAGATCGGGGTGGATGAAAAGTGTGTGTGCTTAGCAATGCTGATGGAAGGTCGCGTGATCGGCGAGTCGGACGTCGATGACTACGAGACTGCTGCAGCTGCCTTGGACTGCGAGCAGTTACTCTACAGCAGCGACTCGAGCAGTCCTTCTCGTTACGTCCAAGCCTGCCCAATCGCCCACGACAGGCACCGCTGCCTCAGACAGACCAGGGAACTTACGAGTGCACAGCACCAACGACAAACTCCCAAGTCTCGATATACTTTCAGACCAAGGTGGCGTTTTCACACTCTACTCTCATCCTATCTTACTTTATTTCTTTCTGCCCACGCTCATTCCTTTTGTTTCTCGATCCTCCGAAAAAAACTACTGACTACCATAGCTGCTGCAGAGATTCAAGCCGCAGTTACACTTTTATTTATACTTCTCACTGATCAATTGTCTGAAAACACGAGTAAATGGTGACGTTAAAATTATAGATTATTTGAAACCCTTCAAATTTAGCAAAGAGCTTCTAAACAGTTGTTTTCTAGCAACGTAAATAAGAGTAAAACTGCCCAAATTAAAATCTCTGCATTTTAGTTTGAAACTCAAATAAACATGCAAAATTGGTCTACAGCTCAATGTGTTTACAGGTTTTTGTGCCTAAACTGCATCTCCGAGTAGGTATATTATGAATTTAACTCTTTCAGCTAAAAGCTGTTTATATCATGATCATTATGAATGAGCTCAGAAGTCCTTGTAAGCTCTTTCGATTCCACTGGGAAAAATATTCTAACTGAATATTATTTCATGACATGATCAGAAATGTCATGGTTTTGCTTTAAGATGGGCTTCTGACTTGAATGAAAATCATCCTAGGAATTGCATCGGTCATTCTAGGAAACTCGTGAAAAACATTTTCATACTAGCATACTTGAGATTGATTAAAGTCCTATAGTCTATCTATATACATAGATCATCGCTTAGTCTTGAGAGTTTGTAATATTGGTAATCACCCAGAACTGCGAAGCATTTAAATGCTAATTATGGCATCACATCTAGATACTTGCCCACAAACTCTGTAAGTTCCCTTGTAAGTCTCTTGTCATGCCGTACATACATATATCTACGTTCATCTGTAGATATGTATACTCGCGCACAGACGCTCATGTATAATTGCTACCTTTGAAGCCTCGCTGCTAGACGAGCATTAGCGTCTGTCGTCATATCATTAAGCTGCTTTCATACACACAATGCTGCTTTTTTAATTCAATTAGACAATATGGCATAGCGCAATCAACAATTTGGCTGTTTTACGTTTGGTGTTTAGATATTTTTTTCTTGAATGTTAGAAATTAGAATTAGATGAATATTAGTTTTTAATAGGTGGACTGTGCTCGATCAAAATTACGTTTATTTATTAACTGCAACGCGCATCGTTTCAATGCTTTTTTCATTTTCAAAACCAATGCTGGTTAGTTTAAAAAAAAAAAACTATTATTTTTTACATTTTTTTAATTTGTGCCGCGTGCTTGATTTACTTTGTTATTTCGAGAAATACTATTATTCATATTGGTTACTGAACATCCAGCCATTCAAAACAAGTAAAAGAAAAAAAAACGAAAACAAAATCAGCATCTTGCTGCTCGCTATAATTAAGAAATTAGATAAGAAAAAAGCAAAAGGCAGCATTGGCTTGTTTGGCTCGTGCGCTCGTGTGCTATTGAGCTAGAAGTAGAAACATAGTGGACTAGATTAGCGTACCATACAATGCAGGCATGGGCATCCTAACAATGGGGCACTCAATTCTGGGACTCCGTCCCCATTGTCCTCGCGACACAGTAGCCAGGACAGCCTGCACAAAAACAACCTCGCCTGCGGACTGCCGATCGGACAGTACAACGTGGTCACCCATCAGTACCACCATATGCCCACTAACATGAGTCCAGCCACAGCCGCCGCTGTCGCCGCTGCTCAAAAGAAGAAGGGCATCAAGAGCAGTCTTGGCAGATTTTTCAGCAAAAAGGATAAGGTTTGCTCTCCTAGGCTACTCTTTCATCTAACACACTGTCTTTCTTTCTTTCTTTTTTTTTTCAACAATACTAAGTGAACGGCTTATTCTAAGAGTTTGAGAACAATGTATTTCCTACAAAACTCGTGCTTGTAGATCAATAAAGGCAAAGACGCAACTATGCCCGGTGATATGGTTATGGGTGGTGTCAGCACACCGGATCCTGACTATGGAGAGATCGCAGCTGGTACAGTGGCGGGAACTCTTTCCAATAAAGGCGACTTCGACCGCCGAAAAAAGAAGAGGTAAATTCATGTCCTAGTTGTTGGACACCGCCAAACAGGTACATTCTTATGAAAAATACTAAATGGTCGTTTGCTTGGCTCGTAGCATGCTGGACACGTCGAGGCATGAGCTGCTGACCGAGGCCATGAAAGCTGGTACGCCGTTCGCCCTGTGGAATGGGCCAACGATTGTCGCTTGGTTGGAACTTTGGGTGGGAATGCCCGCTTGGTACGTAGCGGCCTGCCGCGCTAATGTCAAGAGCGGCGCCATCATGAGCGCCCTTAGTGACACTGAGATCCAGCGCGAGATTGGCATCAGGTATTATTTGATTGCCTACCAAGCGCACCGTAACGATCGATATTTTAACCGCCTGTTTGTCTAGCAATCCATTGCATCGACTGAAACTGAGGCTGGCGATTCAGGAGATGGTCTCGTTAACTAGCCCCTCCGCCCCTAAGACGTCGAGGTCAACACTGGCCTTCGGCGATATGAACCACGAGTGGATTGGCAACTACTGGTTACCAAGCCTCGGGTTACCTCAGTACCGCTCTACCTTTATGGAGTGCCTTGTAGACGCCAGAATGCTCGATCACCTCAACAAAAAGGACCTCAGAGGTCAACTTCGTATGGTTGATAATTTTCATAGGTAATTTGTACATCTTAATTGCTCGCTTGCTCACGCCTATCCGGCTTTCATGTCGTTTACCGTCATTTTCTTTTAACCTTACAGAACGAGTTTGCAATACGGTATTTCCTGCCTAAAGAGATTGAATTACGATAGACAGCAATTAGAAGATAGGAGGCGTATGGCTGAGGGTGCGAACGTTGACGTGCTCGTTTGGAGTAATGATCGTGTTATAAGATGGGTGCAGTCTATCGGCTTGAAGGTGAGTTATATATTTACTCATTATTTCAAGCAAACGATGGCAATAATCGCCATATATTAACAGGAATACGCAAACCATCTTCTTGAGTCTGGAGTTCATGGTGCCCTTATCGCTCTGGACGATAGCTTCGATGCCAATAGTTTCGCTCTACAGCTACAAATTCCTACTCAAAATATGCAGGTAAACGTTTAACAAATAAATATATCTTGAGTAAAGTATTTCAGCTCGAGAATGAGTTTTATAACGATAATCACAATATTTCAGGCTCGACAAGTGTTAGAAATGGAATTTGCAAATCTATTGACCGTGGGAACGGAGAGGCGACTCGAGGATGCAAATAGCATGAAGTCCTGATCAATCCCGTCGAGGCTTTCAAACCTCGAACCTAATATCTAGTCCGAAACCCCAGCTATAACTACTGTATGCGCGCAAATGTATCACAACAATTATTTAAGAGCTTTGTGTTTCGCATTAAAGGGCATGTTTGCGAGTCATCGGAGTGTGAAACTATACGACTCTGAAGAAAAAAAAACAAATCCTATTTATATGGTTCTAGTATAATACATAAATGATAAGCATGCGACAACGAGATGTTGAAAGAAAAAAAATGCTCTTAACTCAAGCTATCACAGTGAGTCTAATACGGCGTGTCATATATTCTTAGTAGGGAAAATAGTTAACCATTAAACAAAAGAGAAAAAAATCATACAATCTCGAATAGATACCGAAAAATAGTACGCTATCATTACTACATTAAGTATGTGCCGCCATAAGCGTCAACGGGAAAGATTTTATATATATATATATATATATATATATATATATATATATATATATATATATAAGGATAACGATTATATAAATTGTACCTTGTTTTGTCAAAAGCCACTTAACTTTTCGTTACGAACTTTCGTGACAATAAAACTTGTCTGGATGGCATACCTACGCATCTGACAAAACAAACAAAGCGTAACATTTTGTACGTGCATTTTGTTACTATACTTCCCCCGCTGCTTGAACTAATCACAATCTTATACGTAAACAAAGTACCGTACTCTAAATCGGTATAACAGAGATTCGGTTATATCGTGCCGCGCACAAAGTCGAGTGTTGAACAATTACTAGTATAAACGAAGTAACGAAGTTTCAAAAAATGTTCAGTATTAATCGTTACTAATAAGTGTCGAAATGAACCACCGTTTTCTCTAATACAATTACCGAAATCAACCAGAAAGAGCGTCCTATATTATGAACTTCTGTGCCTCAACGGTACTGAATATGGAGACTCGTCGAAACACAAAACTGTATACAAATGCATACTTCAGATCTTTATACGATTTTTCTTGTTGTATTGGTTGATAATTTGATTAAGTTGGAAAGGTATTCAAACAATCGTTCAATGTCGGTAACAGAAGTAGTAGCATTTTTATATCTATAATTTCACTGAGGTGAAAATTTTGTTTGTAAATAATTTTCAATTTCCGTTTGAATTTAAATTGTTGCAAAATAATTTTACTTTTTTAATAGGTGATTTCCATTAGAACACTACTTTAATTATTCACTGATTTTAATTATAATTCACCACCTTGATTATTCTTCGAAAATTTTTTGGGATAAGTTTATGTATACAGAGTCTTGATAACGTATTTATTATAAAAAAATTTTATTCACTAATGTTAGGCTGAAAACTAGTACCTTACAGAAAAATTTTTTTTAATCTTCATTTTCTAGCTTATTTTAAATTTTTTCATGAAAAACTTAATTTTTTATATAAACTTAATTTCTTAGGTCTTTTAATGGTACATCGTGCGATTTCAGTTTGTTCATAGTTTTAATATTACAAAATGTACAAATTTTTCTGTCAAGGTATTCTCACATTTACATAATTTCATACAAGCGATATAAACTACGGACTGAGCTATAAAAATAATGAGTGAATAGAGGTTTTCTTCGTTATCCTCCAGAGATGGAACTAAACAGTCATTTTATACCAAAATATTCATTGCTGCATAACTAGGTATAAGAGTATGAACTTAATATGTATAAACGTAAATGCTAATTAAATAATAATGAATTAGATGCAGCAGTATGCGAACTCCACTGTTTTATATTTTAACAAAAAAATGATTGTATGCATCAATCCATTTTACCATTTCTAATATTGTTTGTTTAACAAGAGAGAATCAATTTTAAGTGTATGAATTGACATTGTCATTGCACAATGGCAGAATGTAATCTATATGAGTCATTAATGAGAGAGTTACTGTTTGTGCAGAAAATGAACTCTTGTTTATACGGAATAAGAAATAATCATTATGTTTTTAAATCATGTTTTGTAAATTTGTTAAATAATGCAAATTACAGTATTATTATTGAAAAACATTTTTTTCTTTATTTCCTACAATTTTTTTGTGTGAACCCTCTGAAACTTTATGATTTCGTTTGGAAGATATAAGATAAATTATTGAGACATTGGATAAAAATATAATATCGATAAAAGGAGACGTATTGGAGTACGTGCACAACTGTTTGCAATGTAACTTGCAAATCGCCGATTTATAAACAGTTTATAAATCACGTACACTATAGATTTGTTTGTTTACTTGCGTAATGTAGAACGAAAATTGGAAATCTGAAACAGATACGAGGAAAACAAATGAAAACAATGTTTTGATGATTGAAGAAAGATAGATGTAAAGTCATTAATCATTTGGATGATACAAGTAGTTTAATTATGGTTACATATACACAAGTATAAATGAATATATTATATACGATAAGTGCGTATATTGGATTAAAAATGAAAATTAAGAGGAAGAAAGCTAAAAAAGACAATGATCACTAAAAAAAGAAATGGTAATAATGACGATCACAATAATGATGATTATAGAATTATGATGCCGATGTTGTTAATATTGTTGATACTTAAAAGATCACTGTTGTTAATGTTTGTTTCCCGCGGAATGATCATGCAAGCTGTTCATTCGTTGTAACTCCATATTTAGTGCGACTTTTCGAAAAGGTGTGAAAATGTATGTTCTCATATTATATTTATGCATTCCAAATGATAAATGCTAAACAAATTTATCAGGTATACTGCATCTTTGAAAAATACATGCAAATTACATGCAATGAAGGCCCTAAGATTCAATGTTTATTACAAATATTCTTTACTACCAAAAGATTCATTTGTTATCTAACTTATTCAATTTGTTTGGTCGTTAATCTGCATATTTTAGTAATTTCAGCATCTCTTTTCTAATATTTATTTTTACTATTGTTATTCCTCATGTAATACGCAAAGTAATAAAGGGCAACCAGTAGTTTATTTTAAACATATTTGCAGAGAGCCCTGAACTACTTTTGTCCTTTTCGAAAATGTTCGCAGTCTGTAGATGACTGAACTTTCTTTTGTAATTAATGCTAGCTCATATAGAAAAATTATTAACCGGCACGCAAAAACACATCCAAACATTCCAAAGGATGCTTTCAATCGCAAGAGTAAAATAAGATAACCAGAACAGTGACATTTAAACTTTGATGTGGAATCCAGAAATTCACGTTCTCTCGTAAAAACGTATTGGCTGGAAGTAATTTTTGTACACGTTTGACAGACTCTTGATAATGCTTTTGCAATCATATGTTATTCATTTGAAGAGACTGAGACGATTATGTGTGACGATTGTGTGATTCAGAATCAGAAAGTCACAAGGTTAGATGAAAATAATTAATATGTTCAAAATGAAATTTATAGAATTCCTGCTGTTATTATTATGTATACCTATTTTTGTAATCTGTCGTTTTATTTGAACGTATGTTCATTTCAAATATTGTATTTATTATAAATTCGATTATTTGAAGGAAAATATTTTGAAATTTCTGATAGAATTCTTAGCAATAGTTCATTTTTGACATATAAATTTTCAGACAGTGCGAGAGTCTACAGTATTTGATAATTTGATTTAACTTTAAGAAGTAAAGGCTCTTTTTTCAGACATCTTAAAAGATAAAAATCAATCATTTAAATAAAAAACCTGTTTTTACATCAAGACAGACAACGAGAAAGAAATTTTGAATAATTTTTCAACTCATGAAAATTATAGCTAGAGTATTGTATTGTACTTGTGTAAATATATTTTCGAGAACCAAGCGGTAAATATGTAAATGTTTATTTAAAAAATAATGATTATGCATTAATATCAAATTAATTTTTGAATTTAAATTAGTGGGAAAAATTTCGAAGCTATGTAATACAATTTGTGGAAAGGTTAATTCGTAATGCAATATGATGTAAAGCAAATTTTCAAAATCGGATATTAATAAGGGCGTAACATTAGGTGAATTGTTATACAAAATTTATGTGAGCAGTGAAAAACTAATAATTGCACAGCGAATTTCATCAAATGTGGATGATTGTGATGTGGTCTAAGACATATCGTACGATATTAGGCAAAAAGATTGCGTCATGAAAATTAGACGATAGGTACATAGAACAGCGAGAAATCAGGATATGTTAGGCCGGCGAATTTAAAGTTAGATTAAGATGCGATTCAAGAATTAAAAAATAAGAGTGATTACGAGAGTCGAGACTTTCTAATAATGCGATGACATGAGTTTTATGTAAACCTCATACAAAGAGAAAGAGTTGATTGAAATTTAAAGAAAAAAAAAGGTGTGGACCATCTATAACAATGATTTTCCTTCATCAAATTACGCTTTTTTGAAAGGATGATTGTTCAAAGCAATTAAAAAATAAAGAAAAACGTCTGTGTAAAAATATTTCGCCTTGCAAACCTAGTTGTTCTTCATATCCTAACACTATTCTTTGCTACCTACATTGGTATATTTCCTAACGAGTGCGCAAAGGTTTTTTGACAAAACTAAAATTCACAGTACGAATCGGAGGCGAGTGCTGTAATGAGTTTCATCAAAAAGCCTCTCCATATTTCGTTAGGTCACTTGCTATTTCCATCCGTTTTCTTTCTTTCACTTACTCGTTCGTTTATTGTCTCCTTTTTCTAATCTTGATAATCTTTGTTATTGATACAATAAACATTAATTGTCATTGAAAACATTTGATTAATTATATAATAAATTTTATATCCCATATTTTCATTTTGTACAAGATTACTTACATATTATGTCAATTGATGTAACAGTTCCACTTAAGTATCTTAGTACTCTTTGACATCTAACCAATCTTCCTCAGTAGAATTAGACTGCTTTCGCGAAAGAAAATTTGTAGCGAACGAAATGTCCGGTCGTGAAGCATTTGCCAAATAAGATATACATCCCATGGCTTCTCTATATGGAACATTTAATTTTCTTTTAGTTTTGTCCTTATCCTGGGTAATTTTCTTACCTTTAGCTTATCAAGTAATCATAGGTGGTCATGATGATTGCAATCTACCATACCAAACCTTTCTAAGACCATTTGAATGTATTCAGTCTGTTTAATAGTTAATATTATATCACATCTATATCTATTAATACACATTCCTAGAAACGTTTGGGTTCACCTAAGTTTTTCATTTGGAAAATTGAACTCACATGATCAATAATTTCTTTCAATTTATAGATCTAATAAATTATATTTCAAAGTTTATTAAGAGTGACACCTAAAAATCCAATCAAATAAATATATACATTTAATTATGACAAAGTTTCGCTTGTTTGCCTTCCAGCCTCATCAGGTCTTTTATTAAATTGTCAACTGATACAACAAATCCTTTATGACGACTTAAATAAATGCAATTATTTATTTGACGCCAAGAATTTACAGCATTGATGTTATCTAAACAAAATAATAGGGCATGTTTAGCAACTTTACGACTTCTTAAATGATCGCAATCAGATTATGAAATTAAATGAATGATTATGAATACGAATTAAATGAATAGAAATTGTTATAAGACTACTATTATTGTTTATTCAAGATATCCATAAATTTAACGTGTAGTTAGCAGATCACCTATTTCTGCGTATATTGGGTTGGGTTTATACAATGTTTTTTCCGAAATGAATATTTATTGGGTTATTGGTATAAAGATTTGATTATCATCTGAAATATATTATTTTGAACGTTCAATTAATGTACAAATTGAAATTTTTTGTTATCAACTACATCTGTTAACTCTATGTTTTAATAATTTTTTTTTAATAAACTAACTTTTTAAATAACCCAATAACCCATCTATTTGGAAAGACCATACAATAAAATTAGATTGTTTTTGACATATATATTAATAATTTTGAAAAAGTAACAGGGGTGCAATTAAAACGAGCAAGGGTTCAATTGTTTTGCCTTGTTTCTTTGCAAAAATATTAAGTATTAGTAAGGATATCGCAGTTGAAAAAAACGAAAAAATTATCATAGTTTTTAATTTTTTTTGGGACAACTGAAGGCGTTCAATTAAAATAATGAGCATTTTTGGAGGGTTCAATTAGAGATATTTCGAATGGTATTTTTTTTTCACTGTCCATTACACGTTGCAGGCTAGGGTAAGGGGGGTGTGTTACAGTCCGTATAGACTTCCCACGTGTGTTGAGTGCATCATGTGAAATTTGACCGACAAAGAAAGTGTAAGCGACAAAATAAAGTGTGTGTGTGTTAGTAGTAATAAGAAAAGTATTTTATTGAATATAGTATTTGTTGAAGTGCAGCTTACGCGCCGATGGAAGAACAAAAAGATTCGTCGGTAGTTCAAGGTGCATCGGCGGTGGCGACAAGTGTACATCAATCCAATGAATCAAACCCAGTTGTTGTTGATGCAAAGTACAGTAGATTCAATAATATTATAATTTGTTTATTTCTTCAACACTTCTGCAAGAAAATAACGACCGGTTTGACGCGCGCTCGGAAAAGCAACCGCGCTTAAAATCGCATTGCACCTATACCGAAAAACACTTAATCGCTTTAGCTTCGCTCGTACGGAAAATTTACACAAGGGTCATCATTTTGTCGCACTAGTATGAAAAATACTATGGCACGCGTGCGCGCGGCTACATACGTATTATAAGATGTGATATATATGCTCGTATGGATATATCAGTATATCTATATATTAGTATTTTCTAGGAATTACGATAATGCCGTATATATAGAACAAGAGTAGCAAGTTTTGTTTATAATTTTTTAAAATTGATTTGTTTTAGTATGATAAAATCTATAATTGATATTAAATATATGTGTGTGTGTGTGTGTGTGTGCGCGCGCGTGTTACAGATATCCATACAAAACAATTTAGAGTGGTACAAGGCAAAAAATGCTGGATTAAAACGCGTAAGTACTATATAAAAATTATACGCGAATAATTAATATTCTGTTGCAAACTATAAAAACAATATTATATATATATATATATATATATATATATATATATATATTATTAGAAACTATTTGCTGAAAGGAAAAGCAATAAATGGTTGAAGTGCGAATTGCACAAGCTTCAGGTGAAGTTAAACTTTGCAGTCGGATAAACAAACCATGCTTCTCAAGAAACTGTAAGTATATATATAAAATAAAATAAAAAAACAAGATTCATTCATTTGTAATTATCCTGTCAAATATAGTGGGTAGGATACAATAAATAGATAATACAAAATCATAAATATACTATAGTAATAGATATAATAAACGCATTAATAAAGTTTCGAGATAATGATACATAAATATAATTGCCTTTCTAAAGACTTTTCTTCTGAAAATATCAATGAGTATCGTAGAGTACTATAAAATAAAAAAAATGAAGTAATTATCTGGAATGGAACCTGAAAAAGTGCATTTCAAGTTGCACTAATGATTTTAAAGAGATGCGTCAAGATTTATAGCAAACAAAAGCGAACGAAAACAGCGCCGGTGGACTTCCCCCACCACTCCGTCGCGACGAAAAACATGAGTAATCTAACATTTTCACGAAGTTTTACACAGTCTTTAGCAAAAGTTTAAATAAGATATCTCACAATACAAGACATCTCAAGTTACTACTTCATGCGTTTTATTTTTTGATATGTAAATTCTAGCTCATTTCATTGTTGAGCAATAGGCCGTCAACTTAACAGCCTGTAATTTGATCAATTATTAACAAAATTAGATGATTCTTTTTGTAAATTAAAGTGGTATCGATGCTGCATTAATACCATATATAAAAAATATTCCAAAAGCTATCAAATAAGCCGATAAATTTCCTTTGACAATTAAGCCAATTTTGTAAAAAAAAATTTGATAATATTCTATAGTAAGTATATGTTAAACGATTGCCACCCTATAGATAGCGATCCTACCCCGGAATACAAACGGTTAGATAATTTGTCTGAAAGCTTACAAATGGATAGTTATTTAACTTATGGCTACCGGCTTCGAAGCTCGTAAGTTCCTTTAATCAAGAAATTCATTGAATGACGTGGAAATTCGATATCGTTAACAACTATATTTTGATACTGAATCAATAAATAAATACAATTTGTAGGCATTGAAAAAACAATATTGTCCACGTTCCCTCATTGACTCAACTTAAAAATAATACGATAGAGTAATCTTAATATACTCAAGTTACATTTATTTTTAGGTCATATAAATTAATTAAACATTATTACAAATATTTGAATTGTGAAAGTATGATACACTCGAAGTGCTTGTAGAATTATTTTCTTTATATTCTTGTACTTATAAAAATAGTTGTTACAGTGACGAAAACATTCTTTTATATTTGTAATAAACTGTGTTCATAATTAATTCTGATATAAATTTATTTATTGCCCATTATGCTATAAGTTTTAATAGAAGTTATTATTTTTATTTTAGTTTTCTTTTCAAAACATTAGTTTGTTGAAAAATGCATAACGAACATTTTACAGAATATTTAAAAAAAAATAATAAGCCAATGATTTTTCCCGAAAATTACTACAGATATTCAACTAACTTCTTTTAAAGTTAGATAAATGTTTTGATATTCTAAATTTTGAATTGAGAATTTTCTTATTTTCTCTTTTTTAAAAAAACGAACTTGAAACGCGGAATCGGACACGGTATGATGATAGTGTAACATCCCCACCCTTGCCGTTGGCGCGAACAAGGAATAATTTGTATTTAGTTGTAAGCGCGGGATGAATTTGAACGTGACTCGATAAATAAGGAATGAGAGCGTTCATTGACCGACTTTATAATTTGGGTAGCGTGGAAAATTCAAATGAAAAGAGAGATCAGTGATACTTCAAACTGCCAATTGCTTTTAATGATGTAGAATACAAGAAAAATGTCACAAGTTTCTCTCGTGAGGGCTCTGCTCTGACTGACTTGTCGTTGTCCTGGAGCGTCCTCCTCGGCGCTCCCCTCTGTCACTCCCAAAGGGGTAGGTTTAGCATCAACACCTCCAAAGAGAGGGAGGAGTAAGAGTTTTTTCGGCATCCAGTCATTTGATGAAGTGGGCGTCATCCTTTCTTCGAGAAAGGCCTCGAAGAAAGGATGCAGTAAAAAGGGAAAGTTTTCGCGGCACGTTCGGACCTACGTGCTTCATCCTTTATTGCCGGTTTAGAGCATTTTTTCTGCTGTTTGCTCCGATGCCAATCTTGCGCTCGCAATTTGTCCAGGTGAGCAACATGTGTAGCGCAGACGTCGGCGCGCTCGAGTAGATGCCGTAGTCGAGATTTATTGTAGTGCAATAAATCTTTCTTTATTCGTTTGTTTTTTTTTTTTTTTTCCCTTTGAATATTCGTAGTAAGAGTTGCATTTTCAAGTGACCATTTACACGTTTTCGCTTATATTATCGACGTTCATAAATCTCGCGGGTGTACATATGCTGTTTGCGCTTGCGCCTTATTTCATACCTGTCATATACATATGTTATAGACGCAACGTGACGTGTCCGTTCGTCACAATAGAGATACAGCCACAAGTGTACAGCAGACCTAGATGCGTTACGAATAGGAAAAAAATAAGTTTAGGATAGGTGACCGAACGCTCATCCCTACTCCCTGGTCATTCAATTCAAGTCAGCCGCCGTCGCGAGTACATAGTATTGGGCAGCACTTGCAGTCTTGCACTTCTATCTAATCTAATCTTCAAGCAACACCCACTTACGAAAGTATTTTCTACAGTATTCTTTTGCAAACTTTGTAACTAATTCGACTCTTCCACCTTCAGTTCTATACTAAAGTGTAAGTACTAAGTGTTCACTAAATTTTTTTACAAGTTTCAATAAAACCGGTGTTCACTCATGAGATTTGGCAAACGTTAAGTTAAGGTCACAAAGTGCCGGTACGTCGTCTAACGATCGTCATTAAATATCGCACCAAATACTCTTACACAAAGATTCAATATATATTCCACGCTATAGATAGCGTATTTGTAGAGAAAAAATGTAGCGTTGCGGCGTGCAGATTGAAATAATTGAATGTCGACATCCGTATAATTGACAGTTACCGACTGTCAATTAATATAACATATATTCACGCAAGCACTTTCCGCTCTCGATGCAATTGCAAGTCAAATTGTCTAACGGCTCTTATTCTCTCGCGTAATTTCTGCAGATTCTTGAAAAATGCCATCCTACAAGCTGACTTACTTCCCCGTAAAGGCTCTTGCCGAGCCCATTAGATTCATCTTCAGCTATGCCGGAGTTGACTTTGTCGACGATCGTTTCGACCGTGAGGATTGGCTAAACATCAAGCCGAGTAAGTAATTAACGACGCTAATAAAAGAGCTCTATTTGGTATAATACAATTAATTGCACGCCTACTGCGTGTTTAATTTGCCGTAGCTACTCCATTTGGTCAGGTGCCGGTATTGGATGTCGATGGCAAAAAGGTCAATCAGTCGACGGCGATTGCACGTTATCTGGCCAAACAGCACGGTCTTGCCGGCAAAGATGATTGGGAAAACTTACAAATTGATGCTACCGTCGATACCATTCATGATCTTCGTGCTAGTGCGTTTTCGTTTGTCATGTTAATTTTCAATAAAAATCTCATCATTAACTATGGTAAAAATATGGATATTTGCAGAAATTGCTGCACACCACTATGAAAACCAACCTGAAGCAAAGGCCCAAAAATTAGAGGCAGCTAGTGAACTTGTACCTTTTTACATTGAACGCTTGGATCAGCAGGTCAAAAATAATGGCGGCTACTTTGTCGGCGGCAAATTAACCTGGGCGGATATAACTTTTGTTGCATTGTTGGATTACTTGAATTTTATGGCCCAATACGACATCATTAAGAAAGCTGAAAACTTAAAGGCACTCAGGGAAAAAGTATTATCACAACCCGGTATCAAATCTTGGGTTCAGAAACGACCGGATACTGAAATGTAATTGATTACTCATAAAGAAAAATAAAAAATATTTTTATTCTTTCAGAAATTTTTTCAATACAATAAATAAACATAATAAAAATAATTGTTTTCAAATTTATTACCTTCGAGAAGTCAGTTGATAATCAAATTGCGCTCTAATACAAGGTAGCGATCACAGCGCTTTTAGTTTGTTTGCGCGGGAATACACGGGAAACGTTCCATTGTTGCCGCAAATGTGATTATATTTAGTAATCAAGTGAAATTTAATAAAATCAAAGTTAGTTAGCAGTTTTAAATACACAAATCTTAACTTTTATTGTAAAAATTTGTTACAGTGATATTTATTGTGTAATTTAGAGGTTTTATTTCGTTAAGAAAGTGAAAATGTCGAGTCCCATGCGAGCACCGCGTACCCCGACTAGGGATAGAACTCCAAGGACTCCTAGAACTAGGACTTCAAGACAAGTAGATGAATCATCTCCAAGCACACAGAATTCAGTTAACGGGGTAACTAATGGAACACCCACTCGAAATGGTACTCCTAGCAGGAGACAAGGTATTAAGCTACTCAATAGGTTTAATCTATAAAAAGTGTATGCAACTCGACGAATAAGTTCTTGAATTCTATAGAAATGACTTAATTATTAGGGATTGCCGGTTCCTCTGATACCCCTCTTAGGTGGGGTGCCAATCGACGAACCCAAGAAACAATTGCTGCTTCTTCCGAAGGACCATCCTCTGTTCCTCCAGCTTCATCACCAAATCGAATCCTAATGACAAGTCCACTGCCTCAAGGAATGACAGAGATAGATTTATCTTCTCCTTTAAATTATGGTACACCTAGCTCTATAGGCTCCATTCGAACTCCAAGAAGTGGCATCAGGGGTACACCAGTTCGTCAAAGGCCTGACATAAGAATTGATAAAAGAGTGAGACAGCTCAATGTTGGGTCCAGTGTAAGTCGGAAAAAGCTTCAAATTTTAATTTATAAACATTATTTATGATTAAAAAGGTAATAAATACTAAATTGTACAATGGTAGATTCCAGAAGAAGTAGGCGTTGCTCCTATATCATCAGAGAATGAAAATTTGGCTGGGCCTCAACTTGTCATCTGGGGAACTGATGTTAATGTTAGTCGTGTTAAAGACCAATTCAAAAGATTTATTCAGCGTTTCATTGATCCAGATGCAGAAAATGATGAATTACCAGAAAGTTTAAACGTTTCTGAGCCACTGTACATGCAAAAACTTCATGAAATCAATACTTTGGAAGAACCATACATGAACATAAATTGTGCCCACTTGCAAGCCTTTGATGATGATCTGTCTAAGCAGTTAATCTGTTATCCTCAAGAAGTTATACCAGCAATGGATATGGCTGTCAATGAAATGTTCTTTGAAATTTATCCAGCAGCTGTATTAGAACATCAAATACAAGTACGGCCATTTAATGCTGCTAGAACCAAAAGTATGAGATTGCTGAATCCTGGAGATATTGATCAGTTGATAACTATCACTGGAATGGTTATCAGAACTTCCACTATTTTACCAGAAATGCGAGAAGCTTTTTTCAAATGCATCATTTGCTCATTTGTTAGTATGGTTGAGCTTGATAGAGGTCGTATTAGTGAACCAACAGTTTGCACTAATTGTAACAATAATTACTGCTTCTCTTTGGTACACAATCGCTGTCACTTCTCAGATAAACAAATGATAAAGTTGCAAGAGTCTCCAGATGATATGCCTGCTGGACAAACACCTTATACTATCATAATGCTTGCCTATAATGATTTAGTTGATGCAGTAACTGCTGGTGACAGGGTTGCAGTTACTGGAATATATCGAGCTTCTCCAATTCAATGTAATCCAAGAACATCAAATCTTCGTGCAGTTTATAAAACACACATTGATGTAGTTCACTTTAGAAAGCAAGACTCAAAGAGGTAAATAATGGAAAAATTATTAAAATTGACTTTTGTTCTACATGTTTACTCTATTGGTATATTTATATGCAGGTTGTATGATATGGAAGATGGCAAAGAGCATGTCTTTCCTCCTGAGAGACTCGAAGTACTGAAAACTTTGTCAACAATGCGAGATATTTATGATCGACTTGCAAGGCAAATGGCACCCAGCATTTATGAAAATGAAGATATTAAAAAGGGAATTTTATTGCAATTACTTGGAGGTACCAAGAAAACTCATACCTCATCTGGTAGAACACATTTTAGATCAGAGATTAACATTCTGCTTTGTGGTGATCCTGGTACCAGCAAATCTCAGCTGTTACAGTTTGTTTATAATTTAGTACCTCGCTCTCAGTACAGTAGCGGAAAAGGTATCTTTTATTTAAAAAATAAAAGTGCTATTGCTGTATAAAACCAACTTTCAAATTTAAAACTTAAATAATTGACCTAATTCAAATTCCAGGATCCAGTGCTGTTGGTTTAACTGCTTATGTAACAAAAGATTCTGAAACCAAACAGTTAATTTTAGAAACTGGGGCGTTAGTATTGGCCGACAATGGAATATGTTGTATAGATGAATTTGATAAAATGAACGACAGTACACGATCTGTACTCCACGAAGTTATGGAACAGCAAACTTTAAGTATAGCTAAAGCGGGAATTATTTGCCAGCTCAATGCTAGAACAAGTATCTTAGCTGCTGCAAATCCATGTGAATCTCAATGGAATAAAGATAAAAATGTAAGCATAGAAAAATGCACAAATTCAATATTAAAATTAATTAACAATAATAACATGATCCGCCGCTTTTATTCAGGTTGTCGATAATGTTCAGCTTCCACATACGCTCATGTCGCGATTTGATTTGATCTTCTTGATGTTAGATCAGCAAGATGACAAATTTGATAGAAAGCTTGCCAAGCATCTCGTATCCCTATATTGGAAAAATGAGCTTGAGGACGAAGATGAAGTGATTGACTTAAGCATTTTACGTGACTACATTGCCTATGCTAAAGAAAACATTCACCCCACACTAGGTGAAGAGGCTCAACAACGATTAGTCCAATGCTATGTAGATATGCGACGTATCGGAAGTGGTCGCGGACAAATTACTGCATATCCTCGTCAACTTGAATCGCTTATACGTTTGTCTGAAGCTCATGCTAAAATTCGTTTTAGTCCAGTAGTTGAAGTTGAAGATGTCGAGGAAGCTTACAGGTATGTTTAATGATATTTTTCTGCTAACGGTTGGATGCCATTATTTTTTCTTACGAAAATTTAATTAACAAATTTATTCATGTAGATTACATCGCGAAGCTTTAAAACAGTCCGCAGTTGATCCGCAGAGCGGAAAAATAGATATTGATATTTTAACCACCGGTATGTCAGTGTCTGAAAGACAACGAAATTCTCATATTAAAGAGTTGTTGTGGAAGTATATCGAATCCAAAGGAAAAGTGCCTACACTTAATTATCAGAAACTGTTATCTGAATTTAAAGAGAATACTACAGAGTTTGTAAGTATAGATTTTATATTAAACACACTACATCTTTGTACTAAATAAATAAATCAAAATATTAATAATTTCAGTTGATAACTCGAAGTAAATTTGAGGATGCTCTCAGAAATTTGCAAGATGATGGAAAACTCATAGTTATGAGTAAAAATACAATTAAGATTATTTCTAAAGTGTAATTTTCTTTTATAAAAGTTAATGTTTAATGTTTTAAATTTACGGACTTATTACAGCTATATTAGTGTAACAAAATATGATTATTTATTTATCTATATACAATTTACACCTTAATGATTGCAAGTACCTTTTTATATGTTAAAATAAAACGAATCTTCTTTTTTGACTCGTATATGTTTATATAAGCAATTAAATGAAAAGTCAACATTTTGACAAATTTTTTATATCTTACGTAATTATTGACTTTAAAATATACGATAATTTAATAAATTCCTTCGTAAGATTAAATATAAATTAAAGTTAAGTTAATTACCAACTTAATTAATTTGTAGTTAAATAATCATTCAATTTTTAGTCATGCACATTATCTTGTTAAAAAATAAATAAACATAAATTGATAACATTCTTGACAATATAATGCTTGAATTTTAATTCTGACAAAAATATCAATATGAAATATTAATGTGATTGCGCGATTTCCGAAAAGAATTCTAAAATATTTTGAATAGTAAATTCTAATGTTACATTACTATCAGGATAACAACGTTGAATCAATTCTTCTATGTGTTTATACTGAGCAATAAACTCTCCTTGCATTTCTCGCCAGACGACCTTGAATCAATTGGACAATTAATATAATATTAAGACGTACAAAATAATGAAATAATATTTATATTACCTGCAATAAGTTTTCTTCCTCACATAAATGTTTTTCAACTTTTCTGTACAGATTTTCGAGACCTTTTTTCACTTCTCTCGCTGGATACTCCTTCACTACTCTTCTAAGCTCTTGTCTACTGAAAGCCATTTGATAGCTTATCTCTGATTCCTTAACACCAGCTCCCACTTTTGCTTGAACGCCGTCAAAAAAGAACTATAAAGTTGGCAAAATTTGTTATTTAACATTGAAGACGAATAATTGTTGGAAAATACGGTACACAATAACATACGTTTAATTTTTCTAAAGGTCTTCCAAAATACCGAGTAACATAAGCTTTTAACGCTTCTTGATATTTTTGTTTAGCTTCTTTACGTTCATGGTCTAAAACTGATATCTTTAGTTGCGATAGAAGATCATGCAAGTGATGAAAATTTTCTGCAATAAAAATATTATTTGTAAATTAAAGTTTAAATGAACCCGGAAGATATTTTTCTACAGATATTTAACATTCAGCATACCCATTTTAACGACTTCTGCAGGAGTTTTGTGATGCTCTGTACTATGCGTAATGATAGCTTCAAACATTGTATAAATTAGTTTTGTATACCATTTTTCCAAATCTACTTTTCTATCGGAATTTTTAAAAATATTTTCTGCAGTTCTGGCAAAAGGTCCAAAGTGTTCGACGTATGACAAAATTCCGCATTTAGTTTTTCTATTAACTTTCGTATCCAATATAGATTGCTGTTGCATTTGCATAAATTTATCAAATGCTCTTTTAGCTTGAACAAGAGCTGAACCAAAAGTCATGGAGAGAAATGACCCAGTGTCCTGAGCTGACATAACGTGCTGAGATAGACGGACCAAAGTGTACATGCACCAACTGAAATAAATTTTTAAATACTAATGAAACTGGTAATAAAAAATACAATAATAGCAATTAGTAACAAACTTACAAACTGTCAATCTTCTCAAGGAAATTGATCAAACTATTTAATTCCATTTCTAAAGATGGAAATATTGCTGCCATTATCGTTCTAACTTGTTCATTGACTTGACGCTCCAATTTGGAAGTTTCATTAATATTAGTTGAACTAGGACTAGCAGTAGAAAGATGATTGGTATCATCAGACCCACTGTTACCACTGCTAACACTACCGCATTCTTCTTTGTTCAATTGATTACTTATCTGTTGAAACAAGTAAATGTCGCTAATTAAATTAGATGAAAATATTTCATTCGTATTCAATTTTATTACGTTTATTTGTGAAGATATTGCTGAGTCAAGATGGAGAAAAGAGACGCAAAAAGCTTGCTCAGCTAAACAGACAGGCTGTAATTGAGATAATACACTATCTAGTACAGAGTCTAATAAAGCTCCTTCTCCCTGTGGTGCCCAAGTTTCATTTCCAAGAAGACAAATAGGTGGTTGAGTTGTGGCTATAAATGCATCAGCATCACTTTTAGGTGTTGAGCTGCCACCAGATTTTCCCATTAAATGGGCTATATATATATTAAATATAACAAACAAATTTAACAGTGTTAAATAACGTTCTATAAATAATAACATAAGCAATAACATAGGTATTAAAGTAAAATATTTTACTTACAATGGTATTGATGATGCTGAAATCGTTTTGCAATAAGACAGTCCTTAGCTTCTTCAAAGAAAATTTTAAAGTTTCTTTGATATAAAGTACCCATAGTTTTTGTATACACTTTTGTTAATTGGGTAAAAGCTTTATAATCCAATGCTCTTAAAAGTCTCATTAAGTCTGTGTATGGGTCCAATTCTTTTTGAATACTTTGATGCATGAATAGTTTTAAATCATTAGCAGAATTTTTCGAAGAGGGCGTTGATTGTTGAGTATTAGATTGAGCAACTATTTCGCTTATGTCATTTCCCTGTGAAATGGTAAATAAAATTATAAATATATAAATTATATTTATAATTTTATTTACCATGATAAAATACGAAGGGATTTCCATACCAGATGTATAAATAGATTATTAAGATGACGAGCGACAATCAAAGAAAATTTAGCTTTCAGTTTATCCAGTTTCTTTCTCTGTTCTGCTACAGCACTCAATTTGTCTAAACCCAATGGCAAAGGATATGAAATCGCCTTCAGCAAATGAGCTCCAGCAATTGCCAGTTCATCTTTGTATTCAGGAAGTTCAGCTTCATTTAAAATTTTTTGATGTTCAGGAAATATTGAAAGCTGTGTCTAAAATACAAATAAAAACAAAAATAGTTAGAAATGTTTTTTATAAATATACTGCTACAATCAAAAGCAATAAATTTCACTTACAATTACTATATCTAATTGCTCTAACAATAATCTTGCATTATGATTAGCAACATGAATTGCTTGATTTTTCTGACCAACTCGTTCCATAGCTTCTCTAATTCTTCCAAGTGCTTCATCATATACAGTAAGCTGTGCTTCAACTTTAGATGCTTCACCAATTGCTGCCTCTATACCATTCATTAATTGTGTCACTTGTGGTTCAGATGCTAATACTGATTGAATATTTTCCTAAAACATTTTTTAAACTTCTATTATTATATTGCTAAGCAGAATTTAAATAAATTAAATTTTCCACTTACACCATCAAGTACTGATAGATCTTTTGACAATGTTTCCATAAAAAGCTCTGCATTAGAAACTGCATAGTAACAATTTTCCATTAAAGATGCTAAATCATTTGTTTCTTTATCAGTAATTGGTTGGTATTCAGGTATAGCTATAGGAGATTGTAAAAAATCTGAAATAAATGAAAATATATTAGTTATATATTTTCAAAAAAGCATAATTCATTACAGCTGAAAATTTTACCATTGCCATTGGTATACTCTTTAACAATAACATCATTAGGAATAACAATTGATGGTTCAATATTCATCCACTCTTTTGGTATATTTTTGAATTCTGGCCTCTGTGGTAAACCAAATGAGAATGTGTAGAGATTTATTATAAAATTTTTTCTTTCCTGTGCATTGGTAGTTGACCATTTGTAAATTTTATCAATATGCAATTCCAAATCCATTGAATCTAGACTAACACCATCAACAGTTTGAACATCAGATAAAAGCCAGGATTGCTTCTTCTTGAATCCACTTTTGTCATTGCTGCTTTTAACTTGGTAGATAGTATAAGTTTCTGGAGAATCCAGTGATGAAACTAAACATAGAAAGCTAGTTTTCTTCTTTTTATAAGCTTTACTAACTCTACAGATACTAATAATTTTTTCATCGCTTAGAGTGAAAATTTCTCTCTGCAAAGTATGTCTTGTAGCTGCCATTTTTAATTCGATGATTATAACACAATAAATAACAATAACTGGTAATTAACAAATACGAATTTGTCAACAAATTAGGTAATTTCAATATATATTAAACTATTCTCAGAATACACTTTACCATCAAACAGTTAAGTTCATGTCATACACCGTGGTATACTTAATGTAAATGTAATCTTTATAAATTTAAAAAATGTGCTATAATAATTGCACCTCTTCATAATATGTAACCCGCTGAAAGGGGCCGTATACTTGTCGGATTGCAGCCGAATTGACAGTTGTTTCTAAAGGCGCATTTTCAAGTAACGAGATGTTATCTAAATTAGTGTTTATTGAACGCAGCGCATTGACCTGATTGACCAACGCACAGTCGGTTTGGACAAACGCGGTTCAGAGTTATTTGTCATTTAGATTCCTAAAATATATGCAAATAATTTTTTAGATTGCTTCATGGTATTTAATGTTTTTCCGACTTCTGTTTTAAAACAGTTTTTATAGAACTTTTTTAGATAGATTAAATATGAATTTGGAATTACTGGGTAAGAAACCTTTGTTAACCTATTAATTATTTAGTTATACGTTAATGAGCATTTTTATTTTCAGAATCATTTGGTCAGAACTATCCAGAAGTATGATTTTTTATTGTGTGCTGTTATTAATTGCTTTATATTCCAGTTTTTTACTTTAGTAATTATTATTATTTTAGGAATTTGATGGAACTTTAGATTGTATCTCACTCGCTGTCACTTGTGCATTTAATAAAAGAGGCACATTACTTGCTGTTGGATGTAATGACGGTCGAATTGTAATTTGGGATTTTTTAACTAGAGGTATCGCCAAAATTATCAGTGCTCATGTTCATCCTGTATGTTCTCTGAGGTATTTTTCACACAAAACTCATTCAAATTTTTCATGAACACGAGTTTAACATGAAAAACATTTATACAATTTTACCATTACAGTTGGGCTAGAAATGGTCGTAAGCTTCTTAGTGCTTCAACAGATAACAATGTTTGTATTTGGGATGTATTATCAGGTGAATGTGAACAAAAATATAGATTTCCATCACCAATTTTAAAAGTTCAATTCCATCCAAGAAACTGGACTAAATTTTTAGTATGCCCTATGAGACATGCCGCTGTTATGGTTGACATTCAAGGTTCTCATCAAGTTATACCACTTGATCAAGATGTAAATAATTTATTTTTTATCCCTGTTATTTAAAAATTTCTTTAATTTGAAATTTGCATTTTTTACAGAGTGATTTGAATATTGTTGCTTCTTTTAATAGGCGTGGTGATTATATTTTTACTGGCAATGGTCGTGGTAGAATTCTAGTCCTCGATGTTGAGTCTTGTTCAGTTAAAGCATCTTTTAAAATATCACAAGGTACAGCAAGTAATACAGCAGTTAAAAGTATTGAATTTGCTCGCAGAGGGGAATGTTTTTTAGTAAATACTGCTGATAGAGTTATAAGAGTTTATGACAGTGCAGAAGTTTTGGCATGTGGACAAGATGGTCAACCAGAGCCTATTCAGAAACTACAAGATCTTGTAAATAAAACAACATGGAAAAAATGTTGTTTTTCAGGCGATGGTGAATATGTATGTGCTGGTTCAGCAAGACAGCATGCTTTATATATTTGGGAAAAAAGTATAGGTAACTTGCAGAAAATTTTACATGGAACAAAAGGAGAACTTTTACTTGATGTTGTGGTAAATTTTTCTTTTAATTTGCTTAATTTGTGTTTGTATATAATAATTATTTTTTCATTAAAAAATTGTATAATTGCAGTGGCATCCTGTAAGACCTATTATTGCATCAATATCTTCTGGAGTAGTTTCAATTTGGGCACAAAATCAAGTAGAAAATTGGTCTGCTTTTGCTCCAGATTTTAAAGAACTTGATGAAAATGTAGAATATGAAGAACGAGAAAGTGAATTTGATATAAGTGATGAAGATAAGTCAGTTGTACAAGGAGAGGAGGCACAGGATGAAGAAGTGGAAGTAGATGTTTCAGCTATTGACAGGGTAGCAGCTTTCTGTAGTTCAGATGAGGAAACTGAAGATCAAGAATCATTACATTTTATACCGATTTCTCCTGAAGTTGAGGAAAATGAGGAAATACAACCTCCTATTCATGAAGTACCAACAAAAAAACATGGACTTCATGATATTGACTTGAAAGGTGCACCCACTGATGGTAATTATACTGTAATTGCATTTTACTGATTTACAAAATAATCATTCAAGTACTGATTTTCAATATCTTTGTAGTTATTCATCCGTTATTCAATAAAGGGAAAGACAAACCTGCTGCTAAAAAAGGAAGACCAAGATTAGATAATCGGAAAGGAAAATAAATTGTATTAATTTACTGAATTTTAATTAACATTATTGTACATAATTCAATTAGAAAATATTTTATAGTAAAGATTTATATACAACAATTTTTTAATAGAACTGATCGTTTTTACTAAAATTGGAAAAAACATACAAAAAAGTTTCGTATTTTCAATGTTTGAATTTTTTTTTTCAATAAAAAGAATAAACGTTGACCAAAGATAACCTACGGAATGTATAGAGTATATTTACGTTTAACTAGATAAGCGACACACGCATACGTGCATGTATGTAAGTTTGTTTGTATTTTGCTTGAACCAAGCAAATGGAAGAGCGATTGTATTCTAACCTAATTTTTTTCTTTTAATTTTAATCATTCAATTTTTAATAAAAAATAATAATTTAAATCGTTAGAGGCATTTTGTGAATTTTCCATGGATAATCTGACAAAACAAGTAAATATAATTTATTATTTTATTTTTATACGTAAATCTTGATTTTTATATAAAATCATTTCAGATAGAAGAAATAGAAGCTCTTACAGCTATCTATGGCTCAGAGTTCCAAATTGAAGATGGAATGAATAGATCTTACAGTATAAAAATTGTAAATGGATGCAATAGTAATTTATATGTAAAATTGTATGTGAAATTTACAGAGTCTTATCCTTCAGAATCACCTCCAACATTTGAAATTTCAGCACCACATCTACCTCATGAAACCAAATTACATTTGAGTAATCAATTGGAGGATGTTTATTTGTTGAGTACTAAACATAGTTGATTCCATTTCATAGTAAAACCTTTATTTGTTTTTAATTTTAAAAGTAATATGCCTTTATCAGATCAAACATTGGTCAAAATGTTATTTTTCAATGGATAGAAAGAATTAGAGAAGAATTATACAACTACTCTCCAAATGAAACAGATATAAAAGAGGAAAATCACGTAACTAAAACCCCTAAAGCACCAATTGATAATAATATTATAGAAAACTTTAAATGTCCATCAATTACACATGGTGAAGTCATCTTTGATAGAAAAAGTTCTTTCCAAGGGCATACTGCTATTGTTTTTTCTGTTGATCAAGTAAAGTGAGTCAAAATTTTTTAAATTTTGTTATAAATGTCACTTTAAAATCATTAAAATAGCTTGTTGCTTATATTTTTCTGCAGACTTGTTTTGAATAAACTAAAGGAAAACAAGAAAATACTCCAAGCAACGCATAATATGTATGCTTATAGAATTTATAATGAAAGTACAAAGTACTTTTTACATGACTGTGATGACGATGGCGAAGCACAAGCTGGTCGTAGATTGATGCATTTGCTAGAGGTGACTTTAATTTCACTTTATTTCACTGATATCACGTAATTTTACTCATAGTAAATATTAAAGTATATTTTCCCCGTTTGAAATTACAGATTATGGATGTAAAAAATCTTATAGTTGTAGTTTCTAGATGGTATGGTGGCATTCATCTTGGACCTGATCGTTTTAGGCACATAAATAATGCGGCTCGTCAAGTTTTAACTGCTGCCAATGTAATAAAAAATATAGAAAACAAATAAGTATCGGGAGATTACTAATGCATACGATTAATGTAAAAAGTTCATATTTTTATAAAAAAAAATTCTGTTTTCTTAATTCTTAAAACAACTGTTTTGTACATTTATAAACAGAATAAAAGGCAATTATTTATATAGAAACATTTGGTTTGCATTTTACGGTCATGTGTCTCCGGAAAATGTCATAATTATTCGCGTATATTTTGATTGCACAGGCGTCAACGTGCTTGTTTGCCATGCTGTTCAAGCAAAATTGATTTTAGTTTTTTAATAAAATATTCTAGGGGTACTGACGTAGAAATTAATTACAGTAGGTGTCGAGATCACCATGGTTACGAACTTGAAGTTTGATCGAATTCTCTGACTATCGCATACTCTTGATTGTTGCTTGTACGCTACCAGCTACCATTAAATCAACGATGTAATTACTTTTAAATAAATTTGCGTGAAATCATGGAAAATACGGCTGAAAAAGACGTGGGTTTTCTAGACGAAAGCGACGACAATGAATACCAGCCGAAATATTCAGTGCGTTATCGTGAAAATGTTTCACCACCGATGCAACAAAAATGGATATCCAACGTAGACGAGAATTTAAAAATCTTGGATCCCGATGATCCATTGATGAAGAGATTTCAAGATGCCCTTAAATCACATTTGCTACGCATAGACAACAAGTTGTCTGAAGAAATACGCGAGCTCGTGAGTATTGCACGTAAATTATGCGTAGATGGTCCAAGTTATGATTATTGTTTTACAAACGAATATCTAACACTCCACATGACAGGAGATAGCAATCAAAGATGCTAATAAGACAAGGGAGGACGAAGGCGTTGCCCTTTACGATGTGCAGCAAGAGGCCGCTCGACAGGAAGCGGCAATCGAAAATTACAAAGATATGCTGGCCGAAGTCATCAATTTGAGATCGGACACTGAAGAGCGGCTGAAAATCATCAAAGAGACCCATAAAAAGATCAACGACGAGTTTCAAGGTAAAAAGTCGAAAGCAAGCAAGTTATTACAGAGCATTGAGAGCCTCGACATGCTTCAGCGGCAATTTTCCAAGTGGCAGGACGAATTGTCCGGCAACGTCACCATCTCCCAAAGAATATCCGAGAAGGATGCTGCCGTGCAGCGCGAGCTGCTTTTTCAAAAGCAGCAGAAAGATTACATCCTGTACAAGCTCGAGGATGAGGTCTGGAGGCTTCAAAGCGAAATCAGAGATATCGACGAGCAGCTGCAGATCAAGGATCAGGAAAAAATTGCTCTGAGCCAAACGATAGCCGACGCGAACGCTGACCTCGAGGGCTTGAAGAAAGAACATAAAACTCTTTATAGCGCGTGGAACAGCGTTCTCAATCTTATAAGTCAACGGGATAAAATAAACGAAGAGATTATCGTTGAGCAAAGGTACGGCTGAAGTGACGCTTGCGAATACCATTGTTCGAGATAACAAACTCCGTAGTAATAAATTTCACGTTGTAGGAAAATTCGCGATTCCTTGCAAAATTTGCAAGCGCAGGTAGACAAGCTGAAGAAAGACTCTTCAAAGGAAATGGAAAGCAACGAGCGGCTCACAGCTTTGCAATCGAGAATCGGCGAAGAGATAAAAACAGTCAAGAAGCTTTATGACGCTGACAAAGACAAATACATGCATTTGGAACTGAATTTCGTCAAAGTATCAAAGCTCGTAGAGCAGAGTGAGAAAGAATTCAATGTAGTCCAGACGGTACGTTCAGAAATTTTCATTGCAAAATCTTTGCAATCTTTGTAATTTTATTTGAAAGTGGCAACTATTTTCAGGAATACGACTCGATCGTGCACGAGGAAAAATCGTTAATCAAAGAATTATCCAAATACGAGAATCAGAAAAGAGAATTGGAAGATGATGTAATAATAAAATTGGATGACAAAGTCACTCATGACAAAGCGATACGACATTTAAATAAGCTATTGCACGAATCTAAAGATTTCAATTTAGAAAACGAATTAAATTTAACTCGATTAGAAAATGCTTACGGCAAATCTTTGTTGGAATTGGAAAAGATCAATGCTCTTCTTGACAATGAAAAATTTGATTTAGATGTCGCTGAAAAAAGAAATTTTGAAAAACAAAAGGATATTGAGAAGTTGCAAATAGAATCGAGAAATTACGATATGTTATTAAAGCAAAAGGAACGAAAAATAGTTTTACTCAACAAAAAAATTGAGGAGGTAATGTAGAAAAATTATTCTTTTTTTTCTTCAATACAATTCATTGATAAATTTATACTTGCAGATATTAGTTAGTACAGGTAAAGAAGAATCAAACCCTTTAGATTTAAAAATCAAATCCATGGAAAAAAATATTGAGGAAATTGAAGGCAAAATAAAAAGAGCACAGCAATTTTGGCTGCGCCAGCAAGGTTTCATGTTTTCATTGAGCCAACAAAGAGATTTACAAATGCAAGAATTAGGCGTCATAAGTAAAGAAATAATGTTAATGGAGCAAAAAAATATGAAACTAGAAATGGAGCTTGAAAAACAGGAAAAAGAAGAGGTCAACATGAATAGAATAATGAACGCGTTACAGCAGAGATTGCTACAAATAAATATTAGACTCACGTCTCAAAAGGAAATGAAAAATGAACTAGAGGATAAAAATAACATGGTTAAAAACGAATATTTAAAGTCCCTCAAAGATGCCGAAATGGAACTTATTAAATTACAATCTGATATTAAAGAATTGAACGATAAAAAAATTTCGTTAAAAGAAGAGCTTAAATTTTCTCAGCAAGAGAGTCTTTCGTGGGAGAAAAAAGTATTAAATGAATAAAAGAACACTTTTTATCCAATTTTAAATTAATTTTACGCAAACTTATTAATTTATGTTTTAGGTGCACTTGGCAAGTGAGACTACTAAATCTTACAAAGAGGAAAGAAACGCAGGCGGTGATATTGCATTGATGAAAAGTGAAATACATAAAATGGAAATGCGTTTATCTTATTTGCGAAAAGCTCAAGAGAAACTTGTTCAAGACATGGAGTTTTGCATATCTAGAAGAGATAATATAATTGACGAAGCTATGGCAAGAGAGAAAAAAAATCCAAAAAGTCAACACAATCAAAGAATAGTACTCAGGAAAAGATTAGATGATCAGAAAATGAAAATCAAACAAATTAATAAAGTAACTTTGGAACTCATGAATGAAAACTATATTTATTTATCAAATGCATATAATAAACAAACTAAATTTTCTAGGAGATGAAACAAATGGATAACAAAATTGCAAATGTTGAAGCTGAACAGAACAAACTACTGGAATATCTGAATGAAGGTCAGAAATTGTTGAGAGAAAATGAAGATATTGTACCAGACATAGAAAAGCAAATCATTGAAGCTGAGCTTATCAAACATCACGTATGTTTTATACATCTTTTGTAATTATTTCTTGAAACAAACATGCAGTTTGAAACGTTGTTAATGAGTTGATTATTTGTTGTAGAATTTGGAAGTACTTGTAAGGAAGCAACGGAAAGTAAATATGCTCCGTGACTTGAAGAATGGCTGCTATAAACTACTTATAAAAAACGAAATAGCTGTGAATGATGAATGGCAAAAGCAGCAAGAGATTAATGGTTCTTTACAGCAAATCATGAAACAAACCGAACATGATTTTCCTTTATTAAAAAATGAAATAAGGAAAATATTATTAACTTTAGAAACCTCGTAATTTTTACGGAAAAATTGTAAAGCTCGTCGTGCGAATTGTAATAGTGCCTATTTTCATAAAGTATTATAAGTACATGGTTTCACGATTTGTGAGTTATTATTTTTCTAACAAAACATATAAATCAGAAATCACTTTTTTCAATTTATTTTAATTCTTCTACTCTGCGTAATGTCATCCAACGTACTAAATGATAATTTCTTTTACCAGTTCTTATAAGTGTTACATTGTTTGGTAATATATGAACACGTTGTTTTATGACAGTTTCTAAATCAGTAACTCTTTCATAATTTATGTATAAACCACCAGCTTTGATTATTCTGACAGCATCTCTTTCAGTCTTGAAACAATTTGCTTTCATCGCTAGATCAAAGACTGTCATTTCTCCATTTGGGACCAAATCTACAATGTGAGCACCCTCAAATGCTAAAGCAATCTGATCTTGTGTCATTGTTGATAATGATTCAATTGATTTATCATACAATAATAATGTTGCATTTTGAGCAGCTAATAATCCTTCCTCTGAAAATTTATAAATTTGTTCAGTATATTTTAAAAAAATTATTCACAATTAGAAGTAATTAATTACCTCCATGCACTAATAATGTAACATGCTCTGCTAATATCTGTTGAGCTTTTCTTAAATCAGGTTCTTTTTCATGTTCTTTCATAATATAAGTAATTTGTTTAAGAGGTAAAAAAGTAAAAAGTTTCAAATAGTTTTCAACATCAGCATCAGCTGTCCTGATAAAGTATTGGTACATTTCAAAACTAGATGACTTGTGGTGTGATAGCCAGACAGCATTATTAAGAGATTTTCCAAATTTCTTTCCTCCTTCTGCTGTTATTAAAGGTAATGTAAAACCAAAAACACGGTTTTTTTCAGTTCGACTGATCAATTCATGTCCTGCTGCAATGTTACCTAATTGATCACTTCCACCAATTTGAAAGCAACAACCATAATTTTTTAATAAACACAACCAGTCATAAGCTTGCAAGATTTGATATGTAAACTCAGCAAAACTCATTCCAGTCTTGGACTCTAAACGTGACTGAACAGAAGTTTTTATTAACATTGTTCCCATTCTAAAATGTATTCCTATATTTTTTATGAAATCAAGAACCTTCACATCTTTATACCAATCAATATTATTTACAATCATGATTGGTTTAAGAGGGTATGGATTATTTTGCCAGAAGTACTTTGCATGATTATCAAATATAGTTATTATATTTTGTTTAATACTTTCTATATTTCTTTTTAGTACTATATCATCCATAGCTATTCGTTCACTTGTGCGATGACTAGGATCTCCAATAAGACCAGTAGCACCACCAACTAAGGCTATGACTTGATGACCACCTCTTTGCCAATGCAAAAGATTCATTAATACTAACAAATTGCCAACATGTAAACTATCAGCTGTTGGATCAAAGCCTGCATAAACGCATTGTGGTGACCTATTCAAGATTATTGAAACGTTGTTTCTAAAAAAAATAAATTTTTAAGCATAAAATATTTTATAATAACGCAAAATCGACTTAAATTACTCTCTATTTTTTTTAGGCATAAAAGACAATTATACTTACGCACTGTCATCTGGAAATAAATCTTGATACATTCCTCTCTCATGCAACTTCAATATATTTCTATACTTATTTTTTGGTTCTTCAGAATAAAATCTGTGAATGTCATTAGTCTGAAATATTCTGCTGCAACATTTGCGTAACCTCAAGAAGTTAACGGCACGCATTGCGTATTGAAATATTAACTTGTCGGTAAAAATCTTATTTCTTCAACAAAAAAAAAAATTAAAAAAAAATTAGTTTTGCTTTACATACATTGCGTTCCCGCTGTCAAAATAAATGCTTTTCTTATTTTTTATTTTTAAATTACAAAGCACACAACAATGATACTTTCACATGGAACTGCTTGAGACTCAGAACACTGCGCACACAGCTCTACGCATAATATACTTACATACATACGTCTGTACTCTGTACAGTGTATAGCCAGTGACAGCTGATTTGTATTTGTTTTTTGTATGTATGTACATACATATTACATAGTGACTTGGCGTTTGTAGATTAGTTTATAAAAAAACATGTTTTTTAGCGTTAGTGTAGATATTTTGTTGTAATAAACGATTATCTATTTCTTTTTGAATCAATCATATTTTATTACTTAAAATTAGTTTTCTGAAATTTGAAAGTATATTCAATGAAGGACGTAACCTGAAAAGTAGTTTTGTTATTGTTATTAAACAAAAACCAAAATGTAATCCGTACTTGGTGAAGCACATTCGAAAAAAAATTACAATAACGAAGAATATGTAACTTTATATTGATGGAGTTAAATGGTAGAAATGAGATGTATCAAGTTTTTATCAGTGGGTACCGCCTGGCAAATATATCTCAGGGAAAACCGTATTATGTGTACATCATTGAAATGGTGGGTTCAAGTAATGGACATAGATATCTAATTGAGAAGAGATACAGTGAATTTAACACTCTGCATCGTATGGTAATATAGTAATTAGTTTGACTTTGTATCAATAGCCTAATCATGTCTAAAATGTATTTTTTTCAGTTGAAAAAGAATTGTCCAACTGTTCCATTTCCTCCCAAGAGAGTAAGAAATTCAAATCCAAAAGTTTTGGAGCAAAGAAGAGCTACTCTTGAAATTTATATGCAGAAAATGTTGAAATTATCTAGTACAAGACAGCAAGTTTTAAACTTTTTGGGTATTGAAGGAGGAGCTTCAGAAGTTTACCATAGAGGGTGAGAAAAATTATGTTTCTTATGTATAAAGGCTTCAGGACAAATTGATATTATTTCTTAATGAAATATAAATATTTTAGAGTGCAAACAATTTACAAAGATGATGATCTAATACAATCTAGTTCTTTACATCATCCAGTATTAAAATACCATTGTGATCCATATGTTCATGTTAATGAAACAACCAGTCTTCCAGACATTGTCACAGATGGTGTGCTTTTGGGTATTTATAAATCGTGAACAATTATACATGTGATGATATTTACAAAACTTATATTATTTTATTAATGTATTTGAAAAAAGTCATATCAAATTATGTATACAATTTTTTAATCCCTTACCATAAGTGAACTTTTTTATTTGCATTTTATTTAAAATCTTATAAATATTTTATATTGATGTATTTTAATGATATTTTATTAAAATTATTTGCATAAAATTACTCAATGTTAATCATTCAAACCGTTTAATCTATTCGGAAAATTACGTTTCCTTAATTAAAGTTAACGAAAAAAGGTAATAGGAGGAAATAACGTATACTGGACAGACAATTGTTTAGAGTGCATATATTTGCTAATTTTTTATAATTAAAAAATGCGTTTTAATGAGCTGAAGGAGTATTTACAAGTTTTTCATATAAAAAATTTATTAAAACGCTTGACTTATGTATATACGTTTCGCATAATATCAAATAATACAATTTTAAAACGCGATGTACTTATAATCAACGAAATTAACAATAATTAGTAATTTAAACCTTACAGTACATAATTCATTCATTCATTAATATTATATATTTATCTACAATGTTGCTATAATTATTCAATCCACTTAATTTTTACGAATTATTATTTTATAATTGTTGGCAGCCCTGGCTTTACTGGAATGTAGCATTTTTTTATCATGCAATGTGTACTGAAATTGCACAAAATCGTTTGACTCTTTACAATATTATTTTCATAAAACACTAGTTTACCTACTAAAAAAAATTGATCGTCAAGTTTGTTCATGAAGTCGTAATATCATCTAGCACAAAAGTTTGTCATGGTAAAGAATCTATAAAATAAAGAATCTATAAAATTGTCTTATCATAGCACAATCAAAATGATAGAAGCGTCATGTTAATTATATTTCATTAATTTTAAACATGATTTATCAAATCAGATCGTATCGTCTCATCTACATTCAACTGTAATTTTTCAACCACATTAGTGTTTATGTATATAACGCGAGTTTGACTCCTAATACTTAAAAAACATTTGATAATAGTAAGATCAATTATAAATATTTCTATGAGTTATTCATACTCCTCTTGATTCTCAAATTCGCAAAATAGCTGCCAATAACAATACGGTTAGTCGGAACAGTTTTCGTTTCAATAAAAATACACGCCAGTGCTTCATTCATAATAAATTTCTTGTAACAATAATTAACATTACGAGCAAGTTCATTCGCACACTAGAAATCGTCTTTCGGCAAGAATATCTATCTATATACAATTTTATTTTTTACTTGCCACTAACATGATTTTATCGCGCGTGTTGTATTTCTCAAATTTCTTCATATCAACGTAAAAAAAAATAAAGTTCATGATCGTACTTGTGCATCTCGTTTAAGTAAGATTTTGGAGAAAATCATGAACACTGTTAAATCTCTCATGCGGAATCCGTACAATTCTGATATATTCTAATATTTTCGCATGCTGAATATTATACAATGAAAAAACAATCTCTGTTACGTATTGGGTACCAAAAATAAAATTAAAAAAAAACGAAAATAATACTTGTCAGCGTTCGTTCATGTCGCAAAATTTTTGTGCGTCCACACGACTCTACTATCTCAATAGTAATACACGAGAACTAACTACATCGACGCAACAGATTACTCGCAATAGAATATATTGTACTATAATGCAGTAAACGAATTCCGCATATAAATAAAAATCTTTCAAATATAACTCAACATAATCAATTATTTGCCATTCACAAAGTATATAAAACTTCTTTACCAAAAATGATAAAATAAAAAAGAATGGAAAAAAAAATTTACATGATCGTTGGGATAGATTTAGCATCGTTGTACAACTTAAATATATGCGTATGTATATGACGTGTACATTTTTTCGTACGCTACATTCGCTTAACAAGAGTATTTTATTCAAAGACAACGTAGTCTATCGTTTCAGTCTCCTACGCAAGTAAGAAAAACATTCAAGTTGGCATGCATTAGAGAAGTCGCTTTTTATGGAATCATTCTTTCTTGCCTCGCCACTATAACGCAATTTCCAGCATCTATGTACAATGATGCTTTGTGTATATATATATGTATATATATATCGTCATGGTTTACAACCATATTTTCTGCATATCACAAGCAAACAAAAATATATCGATAATTATTTAAATACGGTTTTCTCTACCCCTTAGCCCTTGGCTCTCTTTATATTTTCCAGCTTAGTGTTTGTTTCTTCGTAATTATTTATAAAATAAATCTGAGGCTGTATTCGTGGACCACAAATTCATGGTATCCTTGTGGTGAATGGCATGTAACAACTTCAGACCGTCTACTTGTAATTAGTTATGTTTTGTTCCTTCACTCTATTTATAACATTAAAAAAAACATAACGAGGCACTTGCCCAAGTCCCTCTCATAAACTCGCATTCTTACCTCACGTCTAATCATTTTTACCTATATTCTGTATAATCTACTTTTATAGATGAAAACGCCAACAGATACATATGGAAGGCACGCCTCGACTGCGAATCTTAGTTTCTACGCAACGCATTTTCTTTATCATGGGTAAATTTTTGTGTTTTGTTTCATCTGAATCTAAGCACCTAACAGGCCACTACAAAGAACACACTTCTCAAGTCTTATCACATTTTTAGTAACATCCACTCTGTTCTAGTTGTATGCTTTACCTTTTGAAACCTCTGTAATTCTCGCGCCCCATCCCGCAACTCATTTGTTTTCCTGTGCCTACGCTTTTCTTCGAAAACCGAAATTATCCAACTATATACGTAATTTAATAAGCTTTCCGTCAAAGCTTCGACGACCCATATGCGTTCACGACATTGTCGCATAATCTGTGTGATTGCGCGAAGATGTTATACTCGTCCGAAGTTTTAATATAAAATTAGATTCTAGAAATGCCTTATTCATAGAAAGATGCACAATGCTTAATTGCGCAAACGACCGTCACGCTTATATCCGACATTTGTTCTCGCGCTTGCGCGCATTTGATCAAGCACAGCTTTTCGACGAACGCGACATTCTCGTGTTTCACTTAATTGCCTAGCAGAGAGGAGAGTGGTGTGCGTTGCACTCGACTGGAAGTGTTGTCTATTCCGTTGGTCGTCTGGCGTCAGCACCAGGTCGCCCCGGCGCTTCGACGTAACGGTCTTCCGGAGCGCCAGCCGCGAGCCTCGGCGGGCTGGAGGTCGGGCTCGCTCGTCCCAGGTCGAGGCGGCGACCGCGCGGCGCGGACCGACAGCAGGAGCTCAAGGCAGAGCTGGGCGCAGGCAGGGCGCGGGCGGAGGGGGCCTAGGAGAGAAAGTTGCCGAGGTCGTTGCGCGCGTTGAACTTTGATTTGGCTGCGGAGGCCGGCTGGCGCCTGAGGCTGGTCTGGGCCGCGCGCGGGCCGGCGAAGCCCTCGCGCCCGGCGCGGTCGAGCTCGAGGCTGGAGCGGTTGGCCGGGGCCGGCGCCTGCTGGCGGTAGGGCGGGCCGAGCCGCTCGCCGGCCTCGGCCACGATCTCCTGGTACTCGTCCGACTCGTTGGGGTAGTAGTTGCAGGCCGACTGCTCAGGCGCGTCGTAGCGCGAGACCAGCCTCATCACATCGCTGAAGTTGGGCAGGAACTGCGGGTTGAACAGGGAGGACTGCGGCGGCGGCAGCGCCAGGTGGTCCGTGGGCAGCATGTAGTGCTCGGGCTGACGGTAGTAGTCGTCGTGCTCGTTGTAGCCCGCGGCGTTCAATCTGTCGTAGTCGAGCTCGAGGAAGTCGGGCGGGCGGGGCGCGCCGACGCCGGGCTCCTGGTACTCGAGGTAGGCCTGCTTGTCGAGGGGCTGCTGCTGCTGCTGCTGCTGCTCGAGAGTACCGACCTCCTGGAACTTGGGCACGTAGGCAGAGTCGTAGTTGTGCAGGTAGCCGAGGCGCTGGTCTTTCTCTAGGTCCATCAGGCCGACGTCCAGGGCCTGCGGCGGCGGTGGCGGCGGCGGCGGCGGCTGCTGCTGCTGCTGCTGCTGCTGGTCCTGGCCGCGCTCGAGGTTGTTGTCGGAGCCACTACCGGCGCTGCTGTCGCTGCCGGATATGGTGCAAGGCGCGGAGGAGGAGGGCTTGCAGCGGCCGTAGGGGCTGTCCTCGGAGCCTGCGACACGCAACACACGAGAGAGACCTTGCTGAGCCGTGCGAGGGGACAACGGTACTCACCAGGGGAGCTGGAGGCCGGCGCCGCTTCGGGGGGTAAGCCTCAGACGGGCTGTCGGCGTCGGTATCATATGTAAGTCTTCTTGACCTTCTGCATGGGCTTGTTCTCGGCCGACGAGTTGGCGTTCTTGCCGTTGGGGTTCTTGGGCGGCACGTTGAGCACCAGGTTGATGGACTTGTTGTTGAAGCCCGGCGACTCGGTGGTCTCGGTCAGCCGGTTGAGCTGCTGGCGCTGCTCCGGTGGATCGGGATAGGGGGCGCCTCGCCATCGCTGCGAGAACCAGAAGCCCGAGGCGAAGCCGGCTATCAGCGAGAAGAGGCAGGTGCCGATCAGCGCGCCCGTGAGTGTCTGCGCCGAGTACACCTGCGGCGTCACCTTCACACCTGCCGAATCATTCCGAACGTCAAGCTCTGGCTGCGCGTCCGTCGAGCTGCCTCGTGTTAGTGGTCACATCGTCGGCCAGCCAACGGGATTAATGCGACGCCGCAGCGGCGCCTGCTGTGAGTGTGCGTTAATCGAGACATCGACAAACATACAACAGCGACACTGTATTAGCCACCAATGGAGTCAATACCAAAATGACCCGCCCCTCTTGCCCTCTGACCCTCCCGATGGCTTGTCCCGATGATTGCGCGGCACAATGAGACCCGGGCGACTGACATTCATGGATTTCGGTGGGCCGCGGCCAGCTCGACGAGTCCTCTCGGCCGCGAGCCCCGAATAAAATGCAACGAAATTGAATGACCAACGCTATTAAAAGAACGGACAGCTCGGTTCGGCTCGACAAGAGCGGATCCGCCGTGCCGTTAAATAATGAATCTTTAGCCAGCGCTCGGGCGAGCGCTCAGCCACGCTTCATGAATAATCGAATGACTTGAACCCCCAGATAACCCCCAGATAACCCCCAGAGAAAGCGGTCGATTCTGGAGGAGGCTCCGCTAACTGGTCGTCGTCTTGGCTAGCGCCTACGTCGTGGCTGAATGGATGGAACAAGCTACGTTACCTTGCGGCTCGTTAGCCCTCGGCTGGGTGCGACTGTACTGATTGTCCCGGTCCAGCTCGATGATGATCTCGTTGTCGCGCTCGTCGACCTGCTCGTTACCGCGGCCGATCCGCGGCGGCAGCATCGGTTGCACGGTTTTGGCCATCTCCGAGGCTACGTTCACTAATCGACACAGGGACAGGAAGAATGAGGTTACCACGTGCTGCGATTGCTCTTCTTTGCCTGCGCGCTCTCTCTCTCTCTCTTTCTCTTTCTCTTTCTTTATCTCCTCGTCAAATGAGAAATCAGCTTATCGTTTTAGTAGATGAGTGGTTAGAAGCAATGCGAGCGTGTTAATGGACCTCGCGGCTGACGGAAGCGTTTATTCGCACAGCGTGCGGGTTGCAAGCAAGCGCCCAGTTAGTTTGACCATACATAATATATTGCATATTAAAGCCAACGTCAAGCTCGCCGCTTTCAATTTGCGCTGGACAAAGTTTTTACGCGCGCGCGCTCTCAACTCCGGCTAATTTGCTAGTTTTGCAAAAATTACAAGCTCATTAACTAATCTACTTTGCCGCGAGTTTTTGATGGCTATCCGTTAAGAGAATTAGCGCGAATTGGGGCAGCGGCAAAAGTTGTAATCGTGGAACGCGCAAAAAGCAACTCCGGCCATCGCGGCGGGTTCCGTCGATCGGAAATCGTCGTCCACGCGCTCGGCGAAAGACAGCAGACAAGTAGGCCGTAGGAGAAGAATCCATCCGGCGCGGCGTGCACTGACCTTGCTCGGCGCCGCAACCCTTGTGCTTGCCGCTCGTGACGTTCTGGTAGAGCATCTTGTCGGCGTCGTTGTCGTGGAGGCGCGTCATCACGGCCACGCACTGGCCGTGCGCGGCGTCCCAGGCGCAGTGCGGGTCCTGGAGGCCGACGCACATGGCGCAGGAGGCCGCCTGCGCGGAGTCGCACTGGTGCAGCGGCACCGCCTTGATCTCCGAGTCGGCGATCACCATGAGCTTGCTCGCCTCGCCGGCCAGATGCACCACTTGCAGATCCTTGATCGCCTGACCTGCTCGGGTCGAAAGACTCGTTATTCCGAGCCGGGCTTTCGACGTCGAGGGCCGTGGTGCAGGGGAGGAGCAAGCAACGCAAGCGCCCGACATGTCGGCCCAAATGGACGACAAGTTTCGCGCGGCGGGAACAATCGAGTGCATCCGAAGTTGGCAGGCTCTCGGTACGGGGCCCGGAGCGTGGCCTTGGGCAGAGGCAGTAGAGTACATACTCACCGTATCTGAGCACTTGGACGTCGCTGACGATCACTTGATCGGAGTCGTTCCTCGACATCGGGCTCCTCGCGTTTAGGGCCTTCATTACTCGACCGTCGTCTGCAAACATGGAAAAGTCAGGGCCGTGAGCAGACGAGAGTGGACACGGCGCTTTGGCCAGCGGCGTTACTTACCAGTGCCCACGTAGAGCACGTCGTAGAGCTTGCCGTCGAGCGCCTTGACCTGTGGATCGACGGCGACCTTGGTGAAGCGGTAGCTGACAACAGAGACGAGCAGTTAGAGCGCGGAGAAAAGGGGGGCGGGGGCGGGGGGAGCAGCGAGAATACTGACTTGTAGGTGACCTTGGTGACGACGGGCGTGGCGAAGAAGGTCTGCACGGCGTCGTCCATCAGCGGGTGGCTCTTGACGAAGTTGACGGTGATGTCGGGCAGCGTGCGCGAGTCGTTGACGCAGGCGCCGGGCCGCGGCTCGGGCACCTTCTCCGGGAGCACGCGCAGCCAGTTGCTGTTGATGGTCTCCTGCTCCTTGAAGGCGCCTTGGAACACCTGCAGCACGTCGCCCATGGAGAAGGCGCACACGGCCGAGCCACCGATCGAGTTGACGGGCGTGGTGAACACGCCGTAGATCAGCTGAGCGTGGGCCTCGCTGTAGATGCCCTCGGTCACGTCGCTCGTCGACTCTGCAACCCACGCCACTCTGCTTCAGCCTAGTCGCGCTTGCGGTTGTTCGTCCGCGTGCTCGTGACCGCCGATCGGCCGGCGCCGTATCGAGCTTGCACGCTACCGTGGATTCGTTCTGCCCAAGCGATGTGATTACGCAAACGACATCGCGCCACCACTATCCAGCCAGCAGGCTGCTCGGCCTACGTTCCCTCGTTATTCGGATCGTTCGCGTGACCCTTTTATCGTCCCGGCGCCTCCTCGTAAATCAACACCAAATTGTCTTGTCGAGATAATGTATTCGACAGCTGTAAATATACCGCGAGTGGCTACCGACATTTTTTTACGAGTTTTCTGAAAGAAAAAAAGTAAAGGAAAGCGTGCGAGGGAAAAAAGGGCTGCCGACCTACGTCTTCGTTCTGAAGTCAAGTTAAGATGCAGGGCGCCGATAGCGATTGCCGGCAGTCGTGCTCGGAGCCTCGCGTTATCGTAAACAATATTTTAAACGCGGAATTGAATAATAGGCCACCGGGAGCTGTCTGTCGCGCGACGCGGCGAGCGATATTTTAAGGCGACGCGCGCGCGTCGATCGTCGGTCGAGCAACTAGACGTGACGTGACGCGACGCGACGCGACGCGACGCGATGCGACGCGATGCGACGCGCGTCACGGAAAAAGAAAGATAGAGCGGCGCGCGAGCGAGACGGAGCGCCGGGGCTAATGAAATTTCGCTTGCGAGCTACACGAGAGCCCCGGGGAGTCGCCGCCTGCCCCGTGTACTACGCGCCTCGCGCGTCCAAACGTAGCTGCAGCACCGCGGAGGGGAGAAGAGCGTCGGCGACGCAGCCTCGCTGACAGCTCGGGGCCGCTGCCGAGGGAGTGCTTCGGCAGCGCCGCTAAAAGCTGTCTCCGCTCCGGAGCGTACGAGGTACCCGCGAGTACAAAGGAGAGAGAGAGAGAGAGAGAGAGCTCGCGGGATTTATGCGCGGGCCTAGATTTCAATTTAAGATCTCGCGGGCGGCTATCGACGGTGGCGGGCACCTGCATTTTTGCACCCCCTCCCCCCCGTGTAAATCCTGGAGACGGAAGCCGCGGTGGTAGGCAGCCGCGCTCGCGGCTGGCTGGCCCCGCGCCAGGATCGAGCGGGCGCACCTGGCTCGCGTGCCAAACCGACTACGGGCGAGCTGCTCGGCGATGCTGGCCCGCGCGTCTGCGGCTTGCTCCCCCGCGCCGTAATTCTCCGCTCGTCTGCTCCGCTCTCGACGCGTTCGTCGCGATGGGAGAGTGTCGCAATTGAAAGTTGATCGGCGACTCGCGCTCCATCGACGCAGCCCCGGTGGAAATTTTCGCGCTCCGGCGTGCTACGTGAGCCGACTGAAATCGGACGAGAGCCCCTCGCTCGCGGGCGGATTGACTTTTGGACGCGTGATCCTCAAAGTAGTCTTTGCTAGTTGCGCCGTGAAAAATCTGCCGGACGCGTCGTTCCGTTTGAAACTGCGCGCCGTGCGCCCGATCGGCCGAGTCAAGGCGCGGCTCTCTCGTGTTCTCGCGAGCGGCAGCCATACGAGTAGCGAGCGCCTGCTCAGCTCTGTGACGTCGATACTGTTCCCACGGCTGCATCCCAGGACGCATTCCGGCATCCAATATTTAGGCGCATCATTGCGATGAATTGACTTTCCCTGCTCCCCTTTCTCGGATATTTTATAAGTGCAGATATTTAGTGGGATTCCTTACGGGTACGAAGTAATAGTATAAAAGAGTTGTCGGCTCGATGGTATTGGCGAGAGAGAGAGGGAGAGAGCAGGCGGCATAATCGAGGCACTATTCCGACTCGTCGTTTTGTTCCGCGCGGGGCCAATAAAAATCGATGAGCCGCGAGGCGCGCAATCGTCGAGACGCACTTTGTCACGAGTCGTCGCTTCCCTCCCGTAAAACTTGCCACTCTTGGCTGCGCCAAACTGTCGGTTGTATCGCATTGTCGTCGTCGTCGTCGTCGTCGTCGTCGTCGTCGTCGTCGTCGACTTTGCATATAATTCCTGAAATCCCATTCGAGGCACTTGGCGTCGGCGCTGCTCGCCACGCGGAAAGCGAAGTTGCCGCGTCTCGCCGTCGAAAAATTGGAGTCCCAGCGTATTTGGCGCGCACGGTCCTTTGGGGTCGTCGACGAGAGTCGCGAGGAGCGAACGGCGCGCTTCACTTACGGATCTCGTTGAAGTAGAACGGATAGTCGCCGGGCACGGAGCAATTGAGCCTGGCTTTGAGGAAGCTGGTCCACCTGTCGCCGAACGCGTGCGGTCCGCCTTTGTCGTGTTTGCACACCCTGGCCACTCGCGAGTAGACAGCCTGTAACATCGAGAGCGCGCGAGGCTTTAGTCCGCCTGTCTTTCACCGGCGCCCGAGCCGCTCGCCGTTCTCGCGCCGAGCCGGGGCGCCCGGTCGCAGCGCTGAGTTGGCCCAAGCCGATTATCGGCGATGCAATCAGCAGATTAAACTCTCGGCCAACAATGATTAAGCGTGGAACGAGCTTACCTTGCCGCAGTTCATGTACTCCACCGCGGTCTCGCGGTAGAAGAAGTACACGTAGTCGCCGTACGTGAAGGAACTCACGAAGTTCGGACCTGCAACAGATCGAGCAATCCATTAGAGTCGCTGCTGCGCTCTGAAAATGCACGCGCGCGAAAAGCCCTCGGAAATCCCGCGGCCGCGGATCGGCCCGATAAGAATCGCATTACCAGGCCGATTCGTAAAGCCACTCGCGAGTGCACAGCCTCCGCGGCAATTATCGCGTTCGGCTTATCTGCGCGGCCTTATACCTCGTTTTTATCCGCGTTCGCGCGCTGCCGCCACGGCCGCGGGCTATGCGGACGAAAAGAAAAAAAGAAAATACAACGTTCACGGGCAGCCGCGCGGAGCGCCTCTATGCACGCGCGCTTTTCGACGATCGCCGGGATTTCCGGCCCAAGTATTGCCTTTGAAGCGGCGTCGAATCGCTCCGCAGTTGAAATTCCAATGGGATCGGCCGCGAGCAACTTTGCGCGGCCGCTATCCTCGCTGGCGAACAACACTGCGGAATGACGCATTGCGGGTAAGGACGCCAAGCGTGGCTTACCGTTCAGCTGGTTCAGGTCCGAGCGCTCCGTGCGGATCTTCTCCCTGTGGATGAGGGGCTCGCCGCCCGACGAGTCGGCGAACGTCGCCGCGTACAGCTGGCCATCTGCGAACAGACAAAGGCGCGAGCGGCGCGTGAAAAAAAAAGAACGTGCTCTCCAGAATTGAAAAATCGCGCAAGGACAATGACGCGCTTCCCTCGTCGCGCGCACGCACACACGCCAAGTGTGCGCACCAGCGAGAGAGAAAAACCGACACAGCGCCGGGGAAGCAACAAAAAAATGCACCCGCGGCACGTCGCTTTGTTGCCGGAGCTGCAAATCGAATTTCAAATAACCTACGGATGCATTTGTCGCAGAACAAACGCGCGAGCAGAAGTAATGAAAATAAAACAAGCGCGAGCGAAATGAAAGAAAAAAAAACGAACGATATAACTGGGCTCTCTCCCTCTCTGGCGATTTTGTTTGATAAAAAACAGATCACCGCGGCGCGAAGTAAATGAATTTCGCCAGGCAGTTGTTTCGCTTTTATTTCTTGACGAGCGAGCGAGAGAATGGAAGGTCGCAATCAGTCGCTAGAGAGAGCGAGAGAACACGTGGGATAAACGCGCATTACAGCAAAGGCACATATCTGACCGCGGAATGAGAGAGGGAAAGAGAGAGGCTCTTTACGCTTGTCGGTTTGCGCCTGTAATGTCTGGCGTGTTGCGATTTACGCGCGACAGCGATGTGCCACCCGGAATGTGCACGTCGTTGGCATTATCGTTCGCTTGCACCCCTTTGACGCGGCCACCGGCGCGTCAAATACACTTGACCCGATCGAGAGAGCAGAGAGAGAGAGAGAGAGAGAGAGAGAGAGAGAGAGAGAGAGAGAGAGAGAGAGAGAGAGAGAGAGAGAGAGAGAGAGAGAGAGAGAGAGAGAGACGCTTGCGCGAGTTGCTTGTCGGGATGACGTCGTCATTGGGGAAAAAGGCGGGGCAGGCAGGTAATGGTAGGGCATAAATTGCAGCGATACACGGCGCGGCGGTAGAGTGCGAGGCGCTGCTGCTATTTACGAGGCAGCTAGGGATGTAGGCAGAAGAAGCAGCAACGACACGCGCAGCACTCGCTTAAATACAGCTTCATCGGGGCTGGGCCAGCCGGCAGCCTCGGCTAGATTTGTAGCCTGGCTCCCGAGCTCGCTACCTCCTTGCTCCCCCTCCCTCGTCCGCGAGCTCCGGTCTAGTTTACCGCCACGCAGACCCGCTCGTGTTTTGCACGCGCGCGTGCACGTAACGCGCGCCCACTTGCCGGCAGGCAGTGCCCGCGGCGCGCCGCTCAACGGCCTTCCGAGCGCTCGAGCAGCCAAAACTCATGGGAGTCGCAGCCGGGCAAACCCGTGGCGAGTCGAAGGAGAGGCGTCTTGAACTATCCGGACTGACGCGAACGCGGCGGAAAAGCGACGCAGCGCTACGTCGGTCGGCCAATTAGAAGCGTATCAGCCCGCTCATCGGCCGCGCCGTTCCGCCGAGAATTCGTGGCTGATCCGAGTTGGCGCGACTATGCGAGCGCGTCGACGATTTCGGTTTGGCCGAAGCTCGCGAGCGTACGAGGTCTACCCGGCGAGCTTTTTCGAGGCTTGCGCGTGCCGACAACTCTTCGATATCGGGAAATGCTCGGGGCACCTTGCGGCGGGGTCAAAGTTTCTCCCCGATAATTAGCGCGCGACGAAAAACCAATTTCGCGCGCGCGTCGACGGCCCGCCCGCGTGCGCTTGGAATTTTCGTGGCCGCGATCGGTCGGACTCGCATTTCTTACTTCTGTCGCTCCGTGGAGCGCGGCGATCGACGCGGGAGCGGAGGAAACGATCGCGGAACGACGATCGCAGGCCGCGCTCGCACGTCCCGATATTTAATTTTGAGAGGGACTGCTTGTTCCTTGGCGCGGATATTGGGTCAAATCGCGTTTCGGGAAATCGAAATGCGCGCGCGTCCCACCGGAGATTGATCGATCGGCGCGCTCGCTTTTTGCCCCCTCGCCCCCTCCGCCGCGCCGCGCCGCACCGTCCGTCAAAGCGGATGCAGACCGGAGTTTTTCCGTTCGATTTGCAAGTATTTGAGCGCGCGCAAAGAAAAAAACGGGCGAAGGCTCGAGATGTGGGCAAAGCTTCGATGGCGGGGGCACAGCTTGGGTGTCTCTTTGTTTGTTCGAACAGCTAAACGAGGCTCCAGTCGCGTGGGAGCGGGATATTTGAAAAATGAAAGGGGGAAAATTGTTGTGAGCGGTTGCCCACCGCGCGCACACAAGCGAAATTTAATTGGTTTGCACTGGCAGGAAAGCGAGGCGGGCTTTTCATAGCCGAGCTCGTAAAAGAGTGCATGCCGCGGCTATGAGTGGCATGGAAAAAAGAACGGACGAACGGGATATGCATTATTATTTCAAGTATTCTTTATGCGCCTCGGTGTTAATTATTTTCGACATTCATGTGTAGGAAAAAATAAAGAGCGGGGGAGGGAGGAAGCGAGGCGCACACAAGCGCTATTGTAATAACCGTAAAACTCTCGGTTTTAGCGCTCGCGAGAGCTGAATTTTAATAATTAATAATTCGCCCGCTGAATAGCAGCTTTTACGCTACGGCATAAAATATGATGTTGCCTTAAAGAGCTCGCGAGAAGAAACAGTGTTGCGTTGTTTTTTCTCCTCCCCCCCCCCTTCGAGCGCCGCTCACTGTAGCCGTAGCTTTTGTTTGGCGTGCTCGCGCCAAGCTTGCTGCAACCATCAGAGCCTTGTGTTTGACAAAAATGTTCGCCTCCATGAACTTTGTTGTTCCTCGTCGCAGCTATTATTCAGAACACGGCAATTATCAATTTGCGAGTGAAAGAGAGAAAATGCACAGAGATAAAGGCTTCGTAAGTGAGACTGTAACAATTAGCAATCGCGGAGCGTCAAATTGCACAAGAAAAAAAGAAGTAGAGAGATAGATAGGGGGAGAGAGAGAGAGAGAGAGAGAGAGAGAGGTGGTGGGGCGGTCTGAAGTATGCAAAAGATACGAGGGCGTGTGTCGGGAGATAGAGCAGACTGGTAAGGATGAAGGAAGAGTGTCCCGAGGGCGCTTACGTGACACACAGTCTCGGCGCGGTAATACGCTCGCGAGAGGAGTGAGATAGGGCGAGATGAGGCAGACTGCTGTGTGTGTCTCTCTCTCTCTCTCTCACTCTGTCTCTCTCGCCACTTACCGGCGAACACGGCGGTGCTGTTGTGCTGCGGGTTGTAGGGACAGAGTCCGAGGCCATCGCTGTCTCTCTCGCTCACGTAGTTGCCGTTCTGGAACAGAAAGAATGCACGGCAAATTGATTAAGCGCCTCCAAATGGACAGAGTCTCGACAGGCCGCTAATTGGTCCTGATCGCCGGAAGAGGAACTGCCTTCTCTGCTTTTATTCCCGGATTTACGATCGCGGACGCTCCCGCTGCGCCTCCGCACGCACGACGAGGGCACGAGTCTACTCGGCTGCAACTCGCTCGGAAACTGTCGCCAATTCCTTGCCGAGGCTTCCGCCTCTTGTTCATTTTTTGTCTTATTTTCCAGACCAATTCTTCCACTTCTCGTTCTCGTTGCTTCGCAGTAGGTCGCCGCGATCGACAATCGCGTCGCAGAAAATTTAGCAAGGGAAAAGCAGAGCGGAAGGCGGGGGAGCAATGATATAGCCGCTGGCGGCGGATAGTCGCCAGCGTGTAACCGTTCCTTCCCTTTTATCCCGACCCGCCGCTATTTTCTTTACGCGTCTTGTAGATATATACGCGGCGCGGATACGGGCTCGCATATACTCCCGCGACCACGACGCCAGGGGCACTTTTGCTCTCTCTCTCTCTCTCTCTCTCTCTCTCTCTCTCTCTCTCCCTCTCTTCCCTGTTCGCCGCCGCCGCCGCCGCCGCCGCCGCCGCGTATGCTCTTGCGTCTCTCGGGCTCAGGGCTCGCTCGACTTTCTAGCGCGCGTTATGCATTCGTTCTTGTCAGCAGTGGAGCGCGAAGCGCACTTCGCCTGGGCCATCTCGTCGACGCCGCCGCAAGTTCATTCGGGCCAACTGCGTGTTTCGGATTAGTGCGCAGCGTGCGCGCAATCCGCGCGGATGCCCGGCCCGACGCGCGAGTTTTGTCCCTATAACTTGCAATTTGCCTACTGCAGGCGAAAGCTCGCTGGCGTGCGCCCGCGCGCAGCCCAATTTAATTAGAGCAGAGCGAGCCAAACCCACCGAATTTATCGATCGCTCGCTAATCGAATTAGCCGGCAGAGCGTCCGCTCGTGCTTTTTTTTTCCTTCTCGCTTTGTTTTTTTTTTTACTTTTTAATCTCCTCCGCGCTCACGCCTCGCTGACGCTGATTCCACTCCCGAATCTTTGTCAGCTACTCGATTAAAACACTCCAAAATAGCGCTCACATTCGTCGGAATTCCTCGTCGCGCCTGCTGACTAGATACTTTATTTAGCGCGCCCGAGCTTCAAATTGGACGCGTGAAGAACAGGTGAATAAAAGTGTGCAAATGTGATTCGTCGAGATAAGGCCTCTCTCTCCTATTTATTCATTTGTTCAGCTATTTATCGCGGAGCTTTTCGCTCCGCTGTTATAGCGGAAACGACTTTGGCGATATTTTTAAAAGTATTTGTTAGCCGCCAAAGCAACGTTCGTACGACATATATTTGGCTTTGAAAAGGCACGAAATGTTGGACGATATAAGCGGATGCGAATTAAGTTCACCGAGTGGAATACATCTTGACAAAGCGAGCTCTATGTTTATAGACAAAAGACACGGCAGCGAATGAATAATGTAAATTGCATGCGCTGATATTACTCGACAAAACGGAATTGCAAATAAAATTTTTCGAGCGGGGCACGCGCCTCGCATTCGCCAAATGGAAAATAAATAAACAATCAATTAAACGGCGTATCGGCAAAAATAAGAGAGCAGTAAAAGGAAAAAAAATAGCGGCGGGTTGGAAAAAGCGCTTCGGCGGGGGCGAGAGCGCGAGAGAGCGGCGCGAGTGCGGTCAGGCGGAAGGGTATAAATCGTGGCTCTCGGCGCGTTCAGCGAGCCCAGACACCGCGCGGACTGACGCTCGGCCGAAAATACGCTGGCTATCGCGATAATTTCAGGGGCGACGTCGCCCGTGATTAGTCGCTCGATAATCATTCAACAAGCTCATTAACGTTCGCGGCGCCGGCGGGACGGGGGAGGGCCGGAGCTTTTTTATTTTTCAATAATGTCGCGCTGCTCCGCCGCGAGCACATCCATTTCCGCGTAATGAAGGCGTGTTTTACGGGCTGAATCTGGTGCACCGCGAGCTGCGCGCATTCGATGCAGCCGTATAATGGAGCTTTATCGAGACTGAATTTCCACATGATACGCCGGTTAAATTTCGTAATCGAGTGCGCCACCGTAAAGTTCTTGCTCGATCGTAATTTCCCGCGCTTTACGTCCGCCGCTCGTGCTTTCCATTTTCGGACGCGCCAGCCGAATCAGCCTTTTCGAGCTTCGGGCTCCGCGCTGCCAGCTATATACGCGCAGAATCTCGAAATGGAAATAAGAGGGGCACACGGGGGCATGTTCGAGCGCAGTCCAGGTGCGGATGGTCGATCGTGCATACCGGCGGAATTGCAAAGGATTTCGGCACGCCGGCCTTTTTTCCTGCGCGATACAACGGAAATTGGCAGTATTTCGCCCCCCCCCCCCTCTCGCTCTCTCTCTCTCTCTCTCTCGCTTCGCAGCTCTTTCCACCGAGTGAATACGCGTGCGGCTCGCGTTCACAAAGCGCGCGCGAGTCGTCATCGTCATTCGGCAGTGCAAATCTCACCATTGCGCTCTTGGGATCGACCCGGGCAGTTGGTGGATCTGCAATCCACCTTTTCGGATCCACAAGAGGTGTAGTGCAGATACGCGGGAGGAAATCGATTGGCTGTGAGCGAATTAAATCGCTCGCGCTCGATTGAACGTGATGTATATAGGTGAGCCGGAGCTCCAGCCAAGTTATAATCCCATAAATTTTTGGAACTCTCGGCCATACATTAAGCGAAAGAATAAAGAGAGAGAGAGAGAGAGAGAGAGAGAGAGAGAGAGTCGCTGTCGAAGCCAGTGCTCGAGATTTTCTTTCTTCTCCGGCGGCGACGAGGAACGCGCGCGATAAATCAGCCACGTACGCCACTTGAAAATTCATGAATTTTTGCCGCAGCCGCAGATAAAAGTCAATGACAGAAAGAGAGAGACTTCACCGAGCGTGTGCGTGAGCGCGGCGACGGGGGGAGGCGGCGAGGCGAGGAGAAGCACTTGCTTATTTACTCAGTGGCAACAAGAATCGACCTCGATCTATATACGCCCTTCGCGTAGGGGCATATATCTCGGTAGTGTCTGGCCGGGCGATAAAGCCCCGTAAAATCCAGCAGCACGAGTCAGCTGGGGAGAGATTGAGCGCCGGCAACGGCCATGAATACGGAATTTGCTTTTCCACGAATGAACAGCGCGATATACGCCTGTTCGGTTACAACGTCGGCCAGCGCGAAACGTATCCGGGCGCGCGAGTCCACATTGAATCTGGTGGCTCTGCGGCGACGCCTCGTCCACCATCTTCTAGCTTCCTCCACCCGCAGCATCGATTTTTCGTACCGCTGTCGCGCCGGCTCAAAGTGCGTGCAGCGTGCGAGCAGCTGGACTCTGATCCCGCTGTGCAAGCTACGCCACTTTACGACGAGATGCCACCGCCGCCGCCGTATTTTCGCATCGCGACCGTTGAAGCCCCAAGATCACGCCCGTATTAGAGTATAGCTTCTGTTCAGCGTCTGGTGTAGAGCTGCCTATCGCTCGGTGATTTGCGCCAGGGCAAAATCATTCGGTGGATTGACCGTCGGGAAAGAGGGCATCGGAAGGGGTCGAGGGCAGCATGGATTTAACGCTGGAAACAGTTGGCGCGCCATGGCTCCTTTCTTCAACATCAGCTGGCAAAGCTCCAAGGTAATATAGCACGTGCCCGCGTTACTATTATCGCCGAGTCGAGCTCGCCCCTTGATTTTTTGCCCCAACAAACTCCAGAATAAAAACAAAGAGAAGAGAGAGAGAGGCAAAGAAAGGCCGGCTTCCATTATCTTAAGCAGTCGACCGGTCTTTTCGAAAAGAAAGCCGTCGCTTGATAGCGAACGCTGTTTACGCTGTGGAGTAGCTCCGTCTGCGCCGCCGCAGCAACTTCGGCCAACTAATTATCATTAATTAGAAAAGTTGGCGAGTGCAGCTTTCAGCTCGCGCTGTAAATCTCTCAAGGCGAGTCACAGTCGCGGCCGAATTTTCATATGAATCCCGGCAACGAATGTTTTCTCGTGTTTGCTGTCGCTGTTGTCGCTACGCGCGTAAATCTCGGCGAGCTTTATAGACAACGCGAGCTCGAGAGCTAGCGGGGTGGGGGAGGCAAAGCGGCAAATTTATACGCTATCCTCTCGTAAAGCCTCGCGAGTTATATCGTCGCGGCTGTATTTCCTCGCGCCTATTACTATAAATATGAACGTCTACTTCTCGACGGCCGAAGCATTGTAATTCGTTTTTCTTTTTCGCGTTGGCGCGAATAGGCCCCCCCAATTCCCCCCCCCCCCCCCCACTTTCTCTCTCACTCCCTCTCTCTCTCTCTCTCTCGCGGTACCGAGGCGAAATTTTCAATTATGCAAACTATCTTTTCTACTCGCTCGTTCGTGCGCGCCTAGCGTGCTTTTTCGCCACGTTATCTCGCAAACAACGCGTGGGACGTTTTCTAGTCAAAATTCATAATGTTTCATACGCGAAACACGCACCGTTCACGCGCTCTAACTCGGTCTATTTTCACCGAGATCATGTAATAAATTGCGTTCGGCGGGGCACGGCGGGCGATTCGACTCTGTGCGCTTCATTTTTCACAACGAATCTAAAAATGAACTCGACGTAGTCGTTTCGGCCAAGAGGTAGAAAAAAAAATTTAGCGCGCCGCATTTCACGGCTTCAAAAGGGGGGTTGGGGGGGGGGGCGAAGGCGGTGAAAGAGAAAGAGAGCGAGAACGGTCGTATCGCCGTCGCGCGCGCGCGAGCAAGTGCGAAATAAAGCTGATCGGTGGGCGCTTTCCGCTGGCGCTTTTCGTGCGTTCGCGGGATAAAGAGGCCGACTCAGTCCGGCCGACAGCAGAATACGAACTAATGAAATAGCTCGCGCGCGTTTCACTTTGCGCGCGGCGACGCGTACGGGAAACGGGGAGTCGGCCGTGCGGCAAACAAACGAGCCGTCCGTCAAAAGCGCGCGCCGTCGGCGCTCCTCTCGCAGGC